TAAGCAAGAACCTTGGAACTCAAGTGTTTGTTAAGTATTGAAAAATGCTCTGGGGTTGATTGCTGGGAGATCCATATCTATTCCCTAAAGATATCAAAATTCTTACCATCTAAAAATTTGAAGAAACTAACTTTCCTCACTATGTAGGTGTAAGTGTAAGCTGTAAGGCATTTTCTTCTCATATTTGAATAGCCTGTTTTATTGCTCCATTCCTTACACTCTATAAATCCTTGAAGACAAGATACAAAATGAAAGGTAGACAACAGAGTAAAAGAGTGCATGCTCTTCTTTTCTACAGTGCCACAGGAATCTAGATGCATAGAAATGTACATGAAAAAATAGATAATTGGATATGAGCATTTAACCAAAATATAAATACTAAAATCTTAAAAGAAACTGAGGAGGAAACTTCAGTTAATAGTCAAATAAAATCCTTGAAATGAAAGTATGACAAAAGAATCTATTAAGAAAAGTACATTAAATATGAGCCATAAACAGCTATCACATGCTAAGCAGCAGAAGGAAAAAGGAAACGGAACTTAAATTCACATTATAGGTTTTGCTTAGGTTCTCCACCAGGGCTTGGGCATCCGAGGTCTCCTGACTTGCTGCAGTGTCAAATTGTTTCCCAGCCAAGCACTGCATCTCACCTAGAAGACAGCAGCTAATGGCTCAAAAGACCTTCAGTTTGCTCTTAGAGTTACGCTGTTTAGTGGATTAGATGAAGCTCTCATATTCAGGCAATTTGGGGTAAATTAGCACTTCTTTACTGCCTGAAAACTGATCAAGTGTGCTAGATATGTCAGGAATAAGGGATCTGTAAGTAAAATGATATTCAAAATTCTGTACTACTTTTATGCTAAAGTATTATTCTATAGCATAGCTATTTTAATTGGTTCTGTTTATGAAATCTTGCTAGACTGTATATGCACAATGTAACTGAAAATTGGTTTTATCCAGAGGTACTGCTGATTGACTATATTCTCACTTAACTTCTTGTCACTTGGCAGACAGTTGTTTGGCTAAGAATACAAAAGCACCCAGATACAGGAATGCTGTTCAAAGAAAAAGAACTTAATATTAAAAACAACAAAGCAACATTCCTGGAACTCAGTAAAGACTTTCTGACAGCCTTCTGTCAGAATGCTACATTTTTTTTTTCTTGACATTATAAAATGTGACACGTATTTTCCATCCTTTATTAGCTTGTAATTTATTCATTCTTTGAGGAATTCTTAGGCCATTGCCTCAGTCCCTTCACAAATGAAACAAGAGCCGTCTAAAAGGAAAATATCCATGATATATTGGCCAAATTTACTGGTGGTGCAATTCCATTAAAGTAAGCAGCTATACAAAGAATGAATTTACCACAATTTAATGTACAAATACGCTATAAATATATGCTATAAATATAACGGATATTTCAAGAATGAGGTAGTGTACTTAGATAAATGTTAGACTGAAAAGTGACCTAGAATGTTTGATTTTTGGAGGGTTTATACAATTGACTGTAACTAGAGCAGCAGGGAATGCGAGATTTCCCTTGATAATTTCTCTTTTTTCAAAAGCACTATTTTAATAAAGGTATAATTCACAGGCACTAAAAAACTCAAAAGAGATTTCATTTTGCATTCTTAACTAATCTATACTGGTTGCCAAAGAGAAATATTAAAAAATCCTATTAAATAATAAGAAATAAGAAACTAGAAGGAGAGCTGAATGTGTGTGTGTGTGCGTATGTATATGCATGCATTTTTAGAGTAAAGTAATAGAATGGCAAACAGAAAAGCAATCTTTTGAAACGATCAAGATCCATGAGGAGAACAGATAACCTTTGCAGTGGAAAAGTTTAACTTATCTATATCCTCATATCTTAATCCCATGCCTGCAGCCTATCTGAAGCTTATCATACTGATTCAATAAAGCCTTTTCATTTTGAGAAGGCACAAGCATGCATATAAAGAGATAACATATCCCATTCTATACACAGACCCTTCACTTTAGCATTTCATATGGAAAGCAACAGCAGGTTTTAGTTGGTACTTAGGTGCTCAGTGTAATGACAGCGAACATTGTCTGTACATAAACATTTTAATAAATACTTCATCCCTTTCTGATGTGGTAATGCTGTTTGCCAGAATGCAGACAGCCAAATCAAAGGAGGGTGTAAAAAGGAAACCCCCTAAAGGTTAAAGCTGCTAAAGCAGCAAGCTGGAATGGTAATCATGTAAGAGATAGGTTAGCCACAGATTCACAGCCTCAAAGGATTTAAGATAACTGGAGCAATAGCCTTTCTTCCCAAAACGTACTTTGGAAATATCCCTCTAGACCTTTGAATTTAACCACATACAAGGAAAGAGAAATTAAAGAATCTTTTTATTTTCTTCTTTAGAAGACAGATTAAACGTCATATCGAATAACTTATATTTGGGTCACTTTAGTGAGCTTCCCTTCCTTTTTCCTGCACATAGCTGGACTGGCTCAAGTGGCCATGCATTAGGTATCTCTACTTTTCAGCCAATAATGGCCTAAAGGGAGAAATCTAAAGACTTTTGAAGGTCCAAATACTTGGTATTTCTGTGTGTAGTTGATTAGATTTGCAGAAAGAACACCGGTTTAAGGTAGTTGCTTTAAAAAATGCAACTAATTTCTACTATTTTCCTCTCCAATGTGTCTTTAAAAACTTTAAGCAAAATTCATCATTAAAATGAATAGTTTAATTATAATTATGTTCTCAATAGAGGACAGTCACCCAACAGAGATGTTCATTTCCAAATCAATGATACTGACAACAGATAAAACAGTGCACTCCAACACCTTGGATCAGATTCCTGACTCTGTCTGAGTCTTAGTTAATTACACTTTTTCTGATTCTATTTCCTCTTGAGACCAAAATCAGGAGAAACTATCTGGCTGTACAAAAAAATGGAATAACAAATGAGCTACAGCTTCTAGCTCTGACACGGTTTAGAGACACTGCAATGAGAAGAGACTTCTTTAAGCAGTCTTTATACCCATTGCTCAGCTGGACGATCCAGACACAGGGCAAGTACAGAACAAGGTCAAGGAGTTGATCCACATGAAACAGCTGTTCAAAATTTCCCTTTCTTCCACCCACCTTCTCCAAATACTTTAGTTATGCCATGCATGCTAGAGGCAAAAGGCAGTACATAATCAATTGTGGCTACTTTTACTAAATGTGAGTCTAAAGCCTTATACTTCAGTTTCTCCTGAAGTTTGACATGACTGTCAGGACGTTTGCATATTACTGACTGCTTTTATCAAAAAATATGGATTGTGTTTTATCTAGTTCTTTCAGTCCTTACAGAGAAGGCAAAAAGTATAAATGGGACACGCTTGACCCCAAACAGTGAACAGTTACTAACAACACCATTTATGAGTACTATAACGGTACTCTATATGAGAGCATATTGTACTCTAGAAAGGCACAGGATAGGCAGAGCTTTAATCTGATGCCAAACTATCAAAGCACTAGTCAGCCACCCAACAGTGAACAGAAAACCATTACTGAATAGCTCTATAACTTGAATTAAAAGAAGCCACAAACACTCTCTTCATCATTAGACTTGATTATGAACTTAATTTTGAATGATTAAAACAGTTTTTATGTTGACTAAGATATAAAACAGCGTAAAATCTTTGCACAACTAAATCATACGTGCATTTTTCAAGAAGCACCTACTGGGATCCTAGTCTTAGAACAAGTAAGCTATTAATACAGCTCAAGCTGCATCCCTCAGGAACAGGTTGTGGGAACATTTTACATCTAGAAAGCAAACAAACGTTGAGCTCAAAGGCAATTCTGTCTGAATGCTCAGTCTGCCAGCACATGAAGTACATATACTAATGGAGATAAGTATTAGAAAGTCATCACTAAATATTTGGCTAATTACTAAATAAGATACTCGAGTGTCTGTTAATCACAAAACTAAAACTGTTTTGCACAGTGGAAGAAAATGATACTCCGATAAATTACTAATGCAGATTTTTGTTTTAAAGTATATTTGCATCAAATTAAAAGAGATTCTGAAAACACTAATTATTTCACATTGAAATATGTCATTAATTCAAATCACCAAATTATACAATTTAATTATTAAAGAAAGATTGAGTAGAATTGTGATCCTTGCCCTTCTCCCAGAGATGTCAATGACAGTTTTTGCACTGATTTCTTTGAAAGTAAAGCTGGATCCCACCTCCTCTAATGGCCATTAATCACTTTAAAATTGAGCACAAAAACTAATAATATTGTTGTCAAATTCATAGCTTGAGAAATATAACGTACTCTATTGTAAAGTATGTTAAGATTACTTCAGGATGTTAATTATCTGCTAGTGGCAATTTTAAAGATTAATGGTGATTATTGTAATTTTTTTACACATTAATAGACAGTGACATATAGACAATAACATATTATAGTTACATACATACTTATACATAGACAACTTTAGCCACTGTTTAAAACCCACAAATATAAACTTTTATACACAAATGTACATGTAATACGGAGTAAAATGCTGTTTGATGACAGAGTGTAATATACATGTGAGATATATTTTATACTTAAATATAGTATTAATGTTATGCGCTAGAAAGATTTTTACAAATATAAATAGGTAGATAATACTACAGTATAAATTACAGTATGTAGCTTTAAATTAGAACACAGATCAATTCATAAGCCTTCAAAACAGAATAAACTATTTGTTTTTGCTACCTACTCAAATGATTTCTGGTAAATTTCAAAATTTTCCCCATGATATTTTACTGAGCATTATACTGTTCCCACTGGAGGAAATGGCAGTTTCCCACTTAATTCTACGAGGGCAGGAGCAATTGCTTAATAAAACTACACAGACTACATTACACATGCATTATTTTTTTCACTGTTATCAAATAAAGCACCGGAATATTTTTTAAAGGCAAGAGGAGACAGCAAAGAGTAAGAAAGTGAAAAATATTAGTGAATGCTATCGTACCGATTTCCATGGTCCCCGATGCCATGAAACCTCACCAGGGCAAGAATGCACATTACACTGTGCCATATTAGGTGGCTTGTCGAGAATTTCACAGTTTTGATCACCCAGCATTTGGCCAGTAGGAAGCTGACAGATCACCAGTCTTGTCTTTATTCCATCTCCACAGGTCTGAGTGCACTAAAATACAAAATTTTAAATACACCATCTCTGTTAAGAGTCTTCATAAACCATTAATACAAAAAGATATAGCAGTAATCTATACATGTAATTATTTACTACGTCTATGTCCATAATTCCCGGACATCCATTATAAGAATGGGGTACTGACAGTCTAATCTTTTATAATGAAATGACAATTTTTTCAACAAATAGTTTACAAAACTACATTTCTATGCTTTATCAAGTAAATGTCTAGTCACGGTAACAAGAATAATCTGCCCTATCAATGAGAAATAATTACTTGTGAGAATAAATGTATGGCTCTTTTATAGTAAGAAAAGGTGGAAATCAGTTATAAAAATGGTGTCCCCACCAGACAAGACAGGTCTCAGGTACTGAACATATTTTGTCATAGTTTATTTTACACAGACAAAGTGTCAAATATTTATAGGGTGTGGTTTATATTTTGAATTTCCACTGCTGTACTTTACAGTGAAAAAATAAAAGCACACAACAAATTTGGTCTAGAAATTTCCCAAGTATGTGTGTACACGGCTATAAAAAATTTATTCTATGTTCATTCTAGTTCCACTTCTCACATAATTCTCTAATTCTAGTGTTTTCAGGCAATAATATGACCTAATGAATTATTACAATCAATCTGATCAAAAGTCAGCATGTTCCAGTAAATTAGAATTTCTTATTTAGAGGATTCTGAATTAGACATGACCTGCTGTGCCTAAGTCTGCAGCTGTGGTCTGGAAAAAAAAACCAATACATTTAGACTGACCGTAAGAACTAAATGGCTAAAACTGTCCAAACAAACAAACAAAAAATCATTTGATCATTTTTTTCTTGTATTCCTCATCTCTAGATATTGAGGTATCCAAGAATAAGCAAGAACCAGAGCAGAATGAATGCCAAATTGACCAGGTACGTTTTTTCTCTCTGTGGTGTTTGAGCAAGAATGGATAGTCAAGTCTTCACAGTACAGAGAATGGAGAAACCTTTCTTTGTCAAAGAATGTATTCTATCACATCAAAACATTCAAATTTAAGAGTGGGGGTTGCCACTCTCATGTCCAGGCTCAGCTTGCTTGCTAGATGTGATTTTATTTTTAACTTTAAATAACAAGCTATTTAACCCAGGCACACCTTTTACATGCACGACCATATTTTTATACCTACTAATTCATAGCTACAACTCAGTATTTTTTTTCCTTTTTCTAATATGTTCATACCAATGAGTATGCTATTGTTTGCAAGTATTCTAGTCACTACTTAATAAATTTGAGGTAAAATAAAACTTTAACTTAGTTTCTTGAGTTCACTACTTCTGTGGTACTTATTACAGACAGTGTTTTTCCTCACCCAATCTTTTTGGAATGGAAGATAATTTTGGATGAGTCAAGATTGAAGAAACAACTGGAATATTCAATTCTAAGTTTTTTACAGTAAGTATATATTAAATTGAAAATGGCCAGACAAGTATAAAAAAGTCTGGAATTTCTAAAGTTATCCCTATACTACTGTTTAACAAAATAGGATGGCCTAAATCCAATCACTTTGAACAAACCGAGCATCATGCAATACTTGCTTCTTCTGGATGTAAATGAGGTACCCATATATACCCTACAATCTAGATTTGATCAAGGAACAAATTTTAGATAAACATATTGAAATAGATTCTTTTTAAATTCCATTCGATTCTTTTGTTCCATTCACACAAATAATTATTTTACTATTTCTGACTTAAATGGTAAATAATGTTTCCTTTTGAAAATGAAACCATCTTACTTCTCCCCAGTTCCCAAAGTTCCAGCGTGGGCAGGGTCCAGAATCACAGTGTCTTGACTCTGGTGGTTTTGTTGCCTCATCACAATAGCTAGCACTTCTTCCTTCCTCATCTTGACATACTACAACCCGACGGTGAAATCCACCTGCACAAGTACTAGAGCACTAGCAAAACATGTGAACATATGTATCACTATTGTATAATGAGCAAAATGTACAATATGTTAGTTAAAACGATTTATTTTTTATCTTAGTATTCAAAATGGGAAATTTTCAAATAAATATTACTGTTATTTACAAGTATTTTAAAGTTGAAAACACAAAAATGCCTTCTAATTTGACCAAATTCTTTCTGCAATAACATTTCTAGAAACATTGACACATGCTTGACAAAGCACACAGATTTTAAAATTTTCTTACCGCTCCCCAGGGTCCGGTTCTCCATTGGTATCCTCCCACAGAAGGACGGTTCCACTGGTTGACATTATCTTGTGGATAGCGTATTGGAAGGTAATCTATTTCTGGAAAATGGCTTGGATGGTCATGTATTTTAGGAACATGATGATAAACGGGTGGACACGGCGGCATGTTACATTCTTGCTCTTTGGAAGGGCGGCCTTCAGGATCACAGTAATTCTCGTTGATTTGTTGATGATAGTTGACACAGATAACTTGCCTCGTTACTACTCCACTACCACATGTAACTGGGCACTGGCCAAAAATTAATCCAATATTTGTGATAGAATACTGGTGACTAATAATTAAAGACATTTATATTTACTTTTGGCAGCAAGAAATGTATACATTATTTTTTTCAAGGGATGCAGCTTCAATCATGCCTGTACAGAATAAGAAGTCCCAAATTCTAACCAGAAAATTTGCCCAATAAAGACACTAAAAAAAATACAAGCAATACTTACAGGGGACCAATTTCCAACTTGCCACTCTCCACATGGGCTAAAGCAGCTTGAAATTTCAGCTGGTCGTGGTAAATGAGCACAGAAAGATTCATCTGCTATTCCTCCATGAACATCTCTGCAACTCACATAGCGAGCACGATCACCTTTCCCGCAGGATGCAGAGCACTGTGAGAAAACAGCCCATGCTCATCACACTTTAGGAGAGAAAGAAGACCAAAAAACGACCATGCAAGCAGCTAAAATACTAACAGCTTAGTACTGGTTTGAATTCAGGATGAAGCTCTGACAACCAGATTCCCATCTCACACTGATACAAACACTAAGAGCCATCCATTCAGGGAGAAGGTGGAAGCATTTTCCTTTGAGGCCCCTTTGATGCCTTTATAGTTGAAAAGTGCAAGGTGAATTTAGTAGTGAGCTTCTGAGTAGCCTCAGTCCGTGCACTCGTTACAGCTATTTAGTTAAAAAAATTATGCAAAGATATATTTTGCTTTAAGCTTTGCTAAGAATTTCAAGGCTCTTATTTTTCAAATTATATAGATAATTTTTTTCATATCTCTGCCAAATAAGAATAATTTGATAAGTCATTTCAAAAATCAAAGCCTCTTTAAAATTTTTAAAGATCTTTAAAGACAAAACTGCTTACTGTTGCTATTCACACAATGGACTTAAATAGTTCTTTAAAATGAAAAATGTTCTCCATAGTCAGAAATTAGTCCATTATTTTTAAAACCCATTTCCTTGAACACTCTCAATCACATGAAAGCTATTTAGTTCAGAACTCCAAACTCTCAATTTTTTCCTTATTTTCTCTGCTAAGTTTGCTTGGAGTGTCAACTACTTCCAGAAAAAGAAAAAAATCTTTAGAAAAGGTAATAATCTTGTTAAAGAATTACCCCAAGCAGATTTCAGTCTGAAAGATATACTGATGAGAGCTTCACACAATAGGAAAATGGGTGAAAAAGTGAAGGACAGTTTTGCAAGCCACGACCACTATTACATAACATACTGGTGTCCATGATCCATATCTCCACTGAGTCACCTTCCCCATATGAATTAGAGGAAGTGATGTAGTCCATATTTTTGTATTTTCTGGACAAGAGGGTAATTCACATTCCTGTGGGGGAGAAAAATAACACTTACTGTAGTAACTAAACCCACTGACTAGTAAACAAATATTCCTTATGAAATAGACCAAAATTAAGAGAAAGGCTAAAGAAGAAGTGCTTTGGGACAAAAGATAAAGGAAGAGAATCATATAACATATTCACAGAGCCATAGAATGAAGGTTGCATGATGAAGGTTGGAAAGGACCTTTGGAGATCTAGTCCAACCCCACTGCACAAGAAGCATCTCCTAGACGACGTTGCACAGGGTCACGTCCAGGCAGATTTTGAAGATCTTCAGAGAAGGAGACTCTGCAACTTCTCTGGGCAACCTATTCCAGTGTTCTGTCACCCTCACAGTCAAGAAGTTTATCCTTAAATTCAGGCAGAACTACCTGTGCTTCAATTTGTGGCTGTAGCCTCTTGTCCTATTGCTGGGCACCACTGAAAATAGACTGTTTTTTTCAGACTATTGAAAGAGAGTCTACTCTCTCTCTACTGAAAGTCTCTCAGACTACTGAAGAGGAGGGGCACCTCCAACTGGACTCAACCTCATTTATTATCACCCTCTGTCATCCAGTCAGTTCTCAATCCACCTCCCTGTCTACTCATCTAACCCACACTTCCAGAGCTTCCCTATGATGATGTTATGGGAGGCAGTGTCAAAAGCCATGCTGAAGTCTAGGTAGACACCTACAGCTCTCCAATTGTCCATCCAGTCAGTCATCCCATCGTAGAAGGCTATCAGGCTCGTCAAACACGACTTCCTCTATCTCTCTCTTCCCTTTCCTGTCTCCAATCTCCAAATTGTTCTTTTTTTTACGTAATTCCTCAGAACAAAGTTAAAGCAAAGAGGCAGTTTCAGTACTTTTGCACATTCCAGAACTCATTTTCCTCAAATTCCTTCCAAAAGTCAGCAGGCACTATTTGTACTAAAAAGTACAATGAACTGAAAAATACTGGTTTACTTACCTGACTGTCTCTAGGACGAGTAGCAGCATTACATTCTCTGTCATCATCCAAAATAACTCCGTAAGTCCCAGCAACACATTTGACTGCACGCATCTGGTATCCGTGGCCACATGTTACAGCACACTGTTAAAGTCAGTAGTTTCACATATTTGAAATAACATAATATTTACTTAAATTTATTTTGAATTCAGTTTTCTCTTTTAAAACTCGTTTTACCATGAGTAGGAATTTAATAATTAGAAAATGATGTCCCACATTTTTTTTTACTATAGTACTGCTAATTTAAAATATTTTTAAAATTTAGCAATAATCTTAATATCTAATGAACAACTACTGTCTTACATGCCTAAAGACCAGCCTAGAAATTCAGAGAATTTGTACGTAGCTTAAAATTTTAGAATTCAGTTTGTAAATCATATATATACCTTGCATACTAATCTAACCAAAAAAGCCTAGCAAGTGAGCAGTTAAGAAGTACAGCTACCATAATCTACCTTAAATCAAATGAATCTCTTTCTAAACTCCACTGATAATACTGTTCAGCTGATGGTCCTGCTTAGGCCTCGCCATCCTCCATAGCAGATATACTGGTTCTCTGTATTTAAACAGCAAATATTTCTTAAGACCCTGCTTTATGTCATGATTTGAGCCATCCAAACGTATCAAAGCCTCATGAAATTGTGCCTTGTTTTTGAATTAATTTTTGGTGACAAAAGCTCCTTCTCCAATTAATTCATCTTTTTCTAGAAATTTGAAGCCTCTCTGGTACGTATTAGACGAGCATCATCAGACAAAAGAACATATTCTTGAACTGAACTTTCATATAAAGAGACAGAAGTTCTTTTTTCATTGAAGATCATATACTAAAGATATTCAGTCAAATATGATGTCATTCTGCCTGCTATTATTAGCATATATCATTCTATGTTTTAAGTTAAACATTTAAATAGGTCAACATATTTGTAAGTATTTATACTTATATAAGTATATACAGTATGTACAATTTACCTGTCCAATTCATCCAAATCCTTTTCTATCTACAACTATTTTCATTGATTTAGGGTTAGATAGCCAACGGGAGCAGAAGGAGACATGAATCAAACCACTTTAAACAGCTCCAATATAATTATTTAAACGTCATTTCTCTGTATTCAGCAAAGATCTAAAGGCAAAAAGTCAGAAATCCTTAGGTACTCACTGCTCCCCAAGGCCCTACTTGCCAAGATGCACATTCATGAAGTTCACATGGTGTTACTGATTCCGGTCTATCATTTCGATTACAAAAATCATCTCTCAGTTGTTCATCATTAAGATGGCACCATACTTGTCGATGTCTCATTCCTTTGCCACATGTAACAGAACACTGTAAAATTATATTAAATTCACTAATTTAAAGACATGAAACCATTTTTTCAGTAGCCTAGTGGATTATAAAGAACACATAAATGATGAAAGCAACATAAGTAATGCAACAAAAATAGTTCTGTGAAGTCTTTGGATGCTATTAAATATCAGCCCAAATACATAAAACTGACCAAGATTCCTTGGTCCACTGTTAAGTTTCTAAAGCTGTAAAACTATGAAAACATTGTCCTATTAATTTATTTCCATTAAAAATGTATACTTATTTAAAATATGAATGTATATTATAGCACAGCTTTCATAGAAAGAATATTTAAATGAACTCTGATCCAATTTTATCCATATAATTTATAACAAAACAGATATAATAGTTCACATTGCTTTATAAGAAAGGAAGTTATGTATAGGACTGTACATAGGTCTACCATAAGTAGTTTCACTATCCCTTTTTACTGTAACAACATGTCAGAGAGAAAAAAAAATATTGGTGTGCTTTTCACAAGTTTTTGTACTATCTGTACAACTGGTGTGTACAGGTAGCTGTGCTGCCATCCAGAGGGACCTGGACAGGCTGGTGAGTTGTGCAGAGAGGAACCTCATGAGGTTCAATAAGGACAAGTGCAGGGTCCTGCACCTGGGGAGGAATAACCCCAGGCACCAGTACAGGTTAGGGGTGGACCTGCTAGAAAGCAGCTCCAGGGAGAGGGACCTGGGAGTCCTGGCTGACACCAAGTTAACCATGAGTGAGCAGTGTGCCCTCGTGGCCAAGAAGGCCAATGGGATCCTGGCCTGCATCAGGAGGAGTGTTGCCAGCAGGTCAAGGGAGGGGATCCTGCCCCTCTACTCAGCTCTGGTGAGGCCGCATCTGGAGTACTGTGTGCAGTTCTGGGCTCCCCAGTATAGGAGGGATGTGGAGCTTCTAGAGAGGGTCCAGAGAAGAGCAACTAGGATGATTAAGGGAATGGAACATCTCTCATACGAAGAGAGGCTGAGTGAGCTGGGCCTGTTTTCTCTGGAGAAGAGACGGCTCAATGGGGATCGGATTAATGTGTATAAGTTCAGGAAGGGACAATGCAGGGAGGAAGGGGACAGACTGTTTTCACTGGTGGCCAGCGACAGGACGAGGGGTAATGGCCACAAGCTGGAGCACAGGAAGTTCCGTCTCCAGATGAGGAGGAACTTCTTTCCTGTTAGGGTGACAGAGCAGTGGAACAGGCTACCCAGGGGGGTTGTGGAGTCTCCTTCTCTGGAGGTCTTCAAAACCCGCCTGGATGCCACCCTGTGCCACATGCTCTAGGTGTGCCTGCTTGAGCAGGAAGGTTGGACTAGATGATCTCTAGAGGTCCCTTCCAACCTTAAATATTCTGTGATTCTGTGATTCTGTGTACATCAACAGAATCCTAGCCCTTAAGTATTTCTACTTTCCAGGTTACAAAAGTAACTAAGAAAAAATAAACAAACAAAAAAAACCCTTTTGTTTTAGTATTGATGACCAGTACCAAGTGAGTTCTAAATTTTACATGGCTGGTTACCTCACTCCACTCACTAAAAGACCAGCTCGGACACGAGAATTCATTGCAGCTCTGTGTTACGATTCTTGGAAGTTTGTGGCATTCTCTCTCAGGAAGATGACGACCCAGATTGTTCATACAAAAAGCTTCTCTGGTTCTGATACCTCTTTCACAGCTCCTTGAACACTGCAGTGTAACACAACAATATTGTGAACAAGAAACAAACCATAATAAAAAACAGCTCAAAATACATTACCAGGATCAAATATGAAAAATATCAAAAATCATGTAGCAAAATTACAGCTTGTCTTGCATCCATTTAAGCCTACACACTTAATATATGTGTACCAGAGATAAGTTTGGCATCTTGCTAACTATTTCCAAGATAGCACTCTTTAATTAATATTAAAGCTGAACTTGTACTAACAGTTTTTTCTTTAAAATACTTAAAGAACTAAATTATTAAAACTCTAAATAAAAGATACAGCTTGAGCAGTCAGATCCTCTCTGCTGACTTCCAAAAATAAGCTGCAAAAATTTGCATATCTACAGCTTCTCATGAAAATATGAGGAATTTTGTCCAATAGTTATCTAAGTATAGAGCTATTAGCTCCTCTTACAACACTGGACTTGTCAAACATTATTCTCTTCTAGTTGCTTAAATGGAAAAAGAAAGAATAAAAATAAAAATCTGATCTGAACACTAACCAGAACTATAATGGTACAATTATAAGTTTTTGAATTTGTACCTCTGACCATTCTGTGTAGTGCCAACTTGTTAACATACAGTCCCCATGACAGGCCTCTCTGGTTGGTGGTTTCTGCTGATCAGCACAGTATCTATCATCCACTGGGGCACTGAGTCCTTTTGCAGCGGAGTACTTCATGCAAAGGATTTCTAAAGAACGATACCCTGGGCCACATTTGGATGTGCAGTCACTTTTGCCAACATTATACCACCTACAAGGATAAACTGTTATAGAAAACTAACTATGTTTTAAAAAATAAATGCAAAGCACTCAGAGAATACGGTTAGAATTGCAGTATAAACATTAATTTTAGATAGAAGATAAATATGATTGTAAGGCCTATATGAAGACTGGAATTTACAAAGTGATAGAAATTTGACTCCTATACTTGAAAATTCTTTTTAAATTTAAAGTATTTTTTGTATAAATCTCCCAATTGACTTTGAAAAATACAAGCTATTATTCTGATCATTCATCCTCCACACATTTCATTGTGCACTTTCTCAGAGTGCAGAAACATATGATTGTGTTCCAAATTAGTCCCAGCTGTAGGTACAATTCTAGTGAAAAACATATTCTGCCCAGTAATACTGATTTTTATTCTAACTTTGGACCTAACGAATAAAAATTAGAAAGCTATGGAGTACTATGTAGTTTTAGAGATGAAAAACAAATGCATGCGTCCATTAAATCAGCAGACTTAAGGAAGGGAGCAAGAGACTGATGGAGAGAGGAAGAAGTCTGAATTATTTTGTTTTGATCTCTATCAACAAAAATAAATAAGACCACAATAGCTCCATCAGCACAGAACATCTTTTTACCTTAATTCACATTCTGTATTACACTCCTCAAAGACTTCTGGTACAGAAGGTGCAAGTTCACATCTTTGATCAGACACTACCACATGATCACTTTTACGTACGCATGTCATTCTCCTCCTTCTAATACCTTGTAAAGAACGCATGAAAGCAAAAAAGGGTTAAAAGATGAATGCCTTTCCCCACTAATATCTGATTTATAATTTAGCAATTTCATGGCAATATCCTATTAACACTAATGTTTGTATACAGCAGATTCTGCACAAAAATATTTACTTAGTCCAGCTGACTAAATTCCTGTGGAGAATATCCTTGTCCCAGTGACATCCACCACCCCCTGATGGCTCCCAGCCATGCCCCCATGATCTCATGAGGGCACCAGCACCCAGAACACTGCAATACAAAGTGCAACAGTTCATTTAATCAGCAGGCTAAGTATTGCAAATGCATCACATCTATCCTTGGATAATTACACAACTATGTTCATTTCAAGGCCATGATCCTTTTCTTAAGGTGGCACAAAATTTGAGCATCAGGTACCTGGAAAGGTTTCCTAAAGTGCTGGAAGTACCAAAGTTGACAGCTCTACATGTCTAGCACATGAGCATGTCTACAACCTGACACAAAACCAGAAGAAACTTATATCGTCTACCTGAGGTATAGACATTTCTAGCATCTGCTATATCTATTATTAAGTGTACATAAACTTTAAACATACAATTCATATACGTTGCGGCTCTGTTTTTCACTAGAGTGACTTATAGAACACTAGACAAAAAATATAAAAAAAATCTAAACCACATTTATCTCAAATAAGAGAAAAACAAAAAATGATAAAAGATACCAGAAAAATCAGGTAGTGGATATCTGGAAAAATGATAATAAAAGAGTGGATAGATAAGATCTATAGCTTAGCAGATATAGAATACCATGTTTTCAAAGATTCAAAACACCTGGTTGAGATACTTCTTATAAATCACTCCTATGGAAAAAAAAAAATGATGAACAATAGAATTTTGAATATAGGATTGCACTGGATAAATACTGAAACCAGGTAACAGGAATCTGAAGTCAGTCTGTCCTTAAAAGCTTTGTGTACCTAAAGTTTACTGAGCGTGATGAGTTTCTCCCTTATTGCTAGGGGTGACAAAATCCCAACTACTTAAGACTAGCTCCTTTCCAGATGTCATCAGGTCTTCGGTTCTGAGGAAGAAAGAATCCACAATACCTTGGCACATTCTGCTGCAGTCCTGCCAGGGTCCAAAAGGATCCCACGTGAACAGATCGTTTCTGTCTTCTATTGGGACACTGAATGAATAACGTACATCAGGGTTGTATAAATTCCCTACACACAAAACCTTAATTGAGATAAAATAATACCCACTTTTAGTGAATTTGTGCATGACATAAACTAAGAACATTATGAGCACATAGTAAATTTTCAAAATAATGAAAAATTCAAAAATTCACCTGTAAAATTAGCTCTTCCTCAATTCTATCAGTGCTGTTAATTCGCTCTATAGTGTTGTTTGAACCATTGTACTCAAAAATAGCCCCCTGTATGTTGATTTCTCTTTTTGACATGCTTACAACAAAATTTCCATTCAAGATAAAATTTCCATGAACATCAGATAAAGCTGTAAGTAAAATAAAGTACTGGGAATAAATATTTTAATTAAAAGGTTTTATCAAAAAAAAAAAATCAACACTTAGCTTTATGTTGTTCCATGCATAGCATTTTAAAATTCATGCACTGATCCCAACCATGAGTTACTCTCACCTAAAGAGATGCCATGGATTTTCTCTGCATTAATAATATTCAACATTAATACTTGTTCTGTTGAAATGCTAAATATAATAATCACTTTTAACCTTTGGCAGGCCCTGTTAGTTCACTCACAGTCTTTTAATAAACATGGCCACAACATACTCAAAAACTGTCAGAGCTATAATTCATTTTCTGACAAATAAAACCATTTTTCTTAAGAAATCTAGAAATTCTTATTAACACTGTAAACACCTACAAAGAAAATCAGGCAAATCATGAAACCCTGTCATTTCATATTTGCTCTAAAGACTTTTGATAACAGAAGTCTAGAGCAGATCTCTGGAAAGCACACACAAACCATCTACGAGTGCTGTGCAGAGCATGCTGTTACCAAGGTAGTTGTCATCTTCTGGTTTCCCTGAGTAGCTGTGCTGACGAATATCGATGTTTGTTGCTCCTTTGGGAATATTCACTACAACATTGTAACCTGCAACATAAAAATTCACAAACTAATTATACACAAAAATTGTCCCATACAAGTAAATATGAACCTTCCAAACCTAACCTACAGTTATCTAGTTTTAATTTAAAAAAAATGTAATGCACCAATGACAACACTTCTGAATATCCTAATGCTTTAGAAAGGAAATGTAAACATTTTTATATACATCATTATAAACATATATGATGAGAAATATCATTAATTTTTTTTTTAATAAAGTTAGCTGAACTGAACTCTAAAAGTGAACTGAACTCTAAAGCTAAATGAACTGAAAAGTCTCTAAAGAGAATGACTACTGTGAAGAGCAGTCTTGCTGGACTCAGGGAAAAATGGTGGCTGTTCATGGAACTTACACAGAATTCTCCGTAAGTCACTTAACCTACTGTACCTCAGCTCCCTCTCTGTAGAACTGGGTTAGCTTTTCCTTGTCTTACAAAAAATATTGCATGACAGCACCCTGAAGAACAAGTCTACTGCAGTGCTGCAGGTCATAAGTATAAGTAGATCTATCAGATAAACTAGCTATTCTTGATCCATGCTCTGCCACTCAAAATGTTACTGGCCTGGCTTCCTCCAGAAAAATATAGGCTTCAAAAAGAAGTCATTCTTTCCTGTAATCCTTCTACTAGTATTAGGGTAGTCTTGTCTTCAGGTAACAAAATAATCTGTGTCAAGATCTGCTTTTTAGAAAAACTGTTGCTCTTGCTCACAATCATAGGTAAAAAAATGCTGCCTCTCACAGATGCTGCTTACATATCCAAAGAGATCCCCATGTTTAAGGAAAACTAAATATGACGAAAATATGAAACAAAAAATAAACACAAATATGTAATATACCTTTTGCTAGAATTTCCAGATCTTTTTCTGTATTTAAGATCGCCTTGTCAGGATTTAATTTTGTTTAGTTAGCTCATCTCTGTGGGTATCAAAATAATCAGCAATCTCCTTTTCCTATGTATAGGAGACTGACTGCTCCATGCTTTTCATTTAAAAATCCTATCCCATGGACTTAGAAGGCGCGTTTCAATCTAAGACCAGGCTGGTCACATTTACCAGCCGGGGGCAGCACTGCAATTGCAAACTGACTGCTTGCTCTGGATAAACACACAGCATTTGGTCAACCTGCCGCCAGATAGGTAAAAACTATGAAATACACACACAGAAAAAGCTTCCACGTCACACACTGAACAGCTTGTGGTAATACGGAGGCAGAAGAGAAAATAAGAGAGAATATATATATGCATATATATTTTTCAGATAATCTCAGATATTCTAGTTTTAAGAGGCAGTAGCTAACATAATAACTAAGTACCCATAATGAGATTACTGTTTCCTAATTTGAGAGCCAAGTAAACTGGTGTTTCATTGAATTTCTGATGACTTTCACTTACTGCTTAATTGCATAATGACTTTATTATAACTGTATGACTGCGAGGACATACCTGTGATCCCACATGCTGCTCTTGCCTGATTTTACATTCTGCTTTAGTAAAACGGTTTGTGTGAGTATGGAAGGGAATAAGGAAAGTGAAAAGGAAAAAGGCCAGGTTCACAGAGCTAAGCATTCTTATCTTCTGATGCCTAACCTGAAAAATCTTTTATATTGATATACTGATATATTGACATGAACATTTATGTTACTATGTAATTCCTGTACTACTTTTAAACTAAAAGTTCCTTCATATGGTGGAAAACAAAAACATCCATAGCTGTTTACTCAGATTGATCAAAATATTACATTCTTTTCCTTTACTTTGAGCAGACATTCAGAAATTCAGTCTTTAATACAAAAGGTGATTGTGCCTTCCAATTTCTCAAAAAACAAAGACACAAAAAAAGTTACATATATATATTGACCTGGATGAAGGGCTGGGGTGCTCCCTCAGCAAGTTTGCCGACGATACCAAACTGGGTGGAGTAGCTGATAGCCCTGAGGGCTGTGCTGCCATCCAGAGGGACCTGGACAGACTGGAGGACTGGGCGGTGAGAAACCTCATGAGGTTCAACAGGAGCAAGTGCAGGGTCCTGCATTTGGGGAGGAATAACCCTGGACACCAGTACAGATTAGGCGTGGACCTGCTGGAGAGCAGCCCCACAGAGAGGGACCTGGGTGTCATGGTGGACGACAAGTTGACCATGAGGCAGCAGTGTGCCCTGGTGGCCAAGAAGGCCAACGGGATCCTGGGGTGCATTAAGAAAAGCGTCTCCAGCAGGTCAAGGGAAGTGATCATCCCCCTCTACTCAGCCCTGGTGAGGCCACATCTGGAGTACTGTGTCCAGTTCTGGGCTCCCCAGTACAAGAGGGATGTGGAGCTGCTGGAGAGAGTCCAGCGCAGGGCTACGAGGATGATCAGGGGCCTGGAACATCTGCCCTATGAGCAAAGGCTGAGAGAGCTGGGTCTGTTCAGCCTGGAGAAGAGGAGGCTGAGGGGGGACCTGATCAGCGTGTATAAATACCTCAAGGGAGGTAGTGAGGAGGAGGGGGGCGGCCTCTTTTCAGTGGTGGGCAGGGATAGGACTAGAGGAAATGGCTTCAAACTGAAGCATCGGAAGTTCCACAGGAACTTAAGGAAGCATTTCTTCACTGTGAGGGTGACAAAGCACTGGAACAGGCTGCCCAGAGAGGTTGTGGAGTCTCCTTCTTTGGAGATCTTTAAAACCCGCTTGGATGCAGCCCTGTGCCACGTGCTCTAGGTGACCCTGTGTGAGCAGGGGGGTTGGACTCGATGACCTCTGAGGTCCCTTCCAACCTTCGGCATTCTATGATTCTATGACTCTATGATATGTATGTGGGGAGGGCAGTTGTATGCAACTGTTAGGTGTTTTTGTATTTTTTGCTTAGCATAATCCCTGTGTGAGGAAAAAGAAAATCTAACAGGATACAGGGCATGCTTTCCTCTTTGACCAGTAATTCCTTTATTCAATGAAGACAATGTCTGGTAGCTTTCCAGGTGTTATTTTCACTTTGCCTGTGGTTTAACCAGTAAGAAAGCTTAAAATGGCCTTTGGGAATCTTACATTAACTAGTGTCTTCTGCCCCTACATTGTATGCTCTTGTTAAACTGCACTGTTAGCCACATAGAGCAGTCTCCCCATACTTCCCAGAATAGGCTATGTAGTGAAATAAAAGCTATCACTAGCTCTGCTAGAGAAGTTAATACAAAGAAACAGAAAGTTATTCAGAAGCGTTTTTCATTCATCACATGCCAACGATGAGGAAAGAACCTTTTTCCAGTCACTGGAAAAAGAAGGTTCACATTTCACATCTTTTCACTGTATGAAAAAAAGGAAGCCCACTAGCTGCTCAGGTCACAGACCACTCACTATCTTCTTATTAACCAAAAGGTGGTGCTGGAATAAGTCCTCCAGTTGCATAGTTCCATTCAAGAAACATCAAAAAGTGCGAAGTAGGAAGTGAGTCCCCTGTTTAAAGTACTACAATTCCTCATCATATCTTTGTTTCATGACTTTTGTTTTGACCTTAAAGCAGATAGACCTTTTCTGCTTAATCTCCCAGTGTGTCAGCACTTGCTTTGAAGGGGCATGGGTCAGGGATACTTTTTGCCAGCAAAAACTGTAAAGAACAGGCACTGAAATCATACTTCTGCAAACACAAACTATAATTTCTAAATCAAACTGATTTAGATCTAAATCAAATTTTTTTTAAAAAAAAGACATACCATAACGAGCACTGTTGAAAGTACCTGCAAGAGTCTTACACGAAGAATTATCCCCACCACAGATTCCACATTTGTCTCTCCTTGCCTTGGAATTCAAGACGTGATCACAGCCAGCTTGCTAAAAGACATACAATAAGCCTGTGTGATTCAGTCCAATGAAAAACAATGAAAGCTAAAAACTAAGAGCTTCCCACCCCCAAAAAACATTTTTATTCACTGTATATATCAAAGGAATATCTCCAGCTCCTTGGCAATCCATGAAAAGCCTTTTATGATTTTGGGTGCTGTGATGTAAAACACAATAGTTCTGTTGTACTAAGAAAGTGCAATGCAAACACACTTAATATGTCAAAAAGTGTATAAGAATACATTTAATAGTATAAAAAGATTTTGCATAAAATATTAAATGTAGTGTAAAAATCTTAAGGCATATTTACTTTAAAAATTCTTAGAAGTCTAAAGTATATGCATGAGGTCATTGATTCTTTTAAAGCCTGACATTATTGCAAAATAAACAAAGGAATACAAGGAGACTGCAGTTAAACTAGAATACTTTCATTTATATATCTTTACTTAAACTTTTTTTTTTTTTTTTTTTTTTCTTATCATATACAGGACTATTCCCTGGCATTTCCTCTTTGCTATTGATTCAACACTATAAAAAGGCTACATTTTCCCTTCATCTTTTAGTTAGTCCATTTTACTGCAATCAACAGTACTAAAATGGACAGAGAGTCTTTAATTTTTAGAATATGTGAGCTTGTCTCTCCTGATATAATCTTGTGGTATTTCTATAGCTTTTGTCAAGTTAAGAATGCTGAAAAGATCCTTTTCAATTGTCAGTTCTTCTTGATTGAGCAATGAAATCATAAATATGTAACCAATATGCCCCCGGATTTTCTACCTTCTTACTTCTTTTGTAGTTGAAATATGATGGTAATAAATATAGCATGCTTTGTTCCTCCTTTTACACCAATTTTATATCTGTTTCTCTCTACTCATTTCAACACTACTAACCTTCCCTTTACACACTAGACTTAAGAAAAGTGTGGGTTTTCAGATTGAAATGTATGTTCAACACTCAATCTTTAATTTGACAGGGATCAAAATTTACTTAAACACACAAAAAAAACATGCTTTATAGATTTTCAAGTAATGGTTGTTTGGATGTACAATTAGTATCTGTTTTACGATCTCTTAAATTGATTTTAGTAATTAATAAGTTTAGATTTAAATACCCTGCATAAGCCTTGAACACAAAGGTCATTGGTTTCTGCTCCACAGGGAGTACCATCAGCAACTCTGTCCTTCAGCTGATAGTAGGAAGTTGTTCCAGAAACTCGGCAAAAAAGCTTACAGCGATCTTTCATAGAAACTGGAAAGAAAATCCAACAGTGTGTTTTTGTTTTGTTTTGATTGTTTTGTCTGTTTTAGGATAAAGTAGCACACAGCAAATGTATTTATATAGCAAAGTAAAGTAGCATTGGAATTCATTAATTCAAAAAGTTTGTATTACTTACTACCGCTATATTTTGGAAGCCAGCGAACAGCAGAGGTAAGACCATTGATGTTAAAATGTTTGCCATCAAATTCAGAGCACTGTTGTTCCCGGAAATCTTTTTTGCCCTTTGGACAGGAATCAGTATTACATGATCGAAATTTCATCCTGCGGCCAACACAGTACTTTCCTCCATTTCTTGGTCTAACAAAAATAATTAAATGTAAAACACTATCTCTCAATTTTCTAAAATTGCTGTTTTTCAGTGGGGAGTGGTTTGAGGCACTGATATGAAAGAAAAATATAACACAACATTTTTCCTATGGTCCTTTATTGACTGTCCACACACACACACATGCACACCTAAAAGCCCCTCTTCTCTTCCATTGCATTGTGCATACATTTATATCTATGCAAGAAAATAAAAACTGAATGTTAACTGCTATGACTCAGAGAGGGCAGAGAATTAGAACTAATGTCCATTTCATTAAATATAAAGTATAATTAAAAGGTAAAAATCTGTTAGATCCATTTTTGTTTTTCTTATAATATTTTGCCCTGGAAAAGGCACTATTAAGTTTCACGTTTCAGTAAGGTTTCAAGTAACTTAGCTGTAATCTCATCCCTATACTTCTATAAATTGCACCTCCCTCAGTAATTTGAAACTACTCAATTGTTTTAAAAATATCAAAGAAAGAAGACAGAATTGAGTTGTGACACACCCTTTTTGGTAGCATTAATATTGGTTTCAATTTGGGGAACAAAAGAAGAACTTAAAAAGGTAAACTGTGAAAACCATCCCTTTTAGACTCTAAAGTCTAAAATATTCTTTGAAATCACTAAAGCATTTTCTAATTATCTGTATTATCTCATTGTCTTTTCTTATAAAAGAATTAAAAACATATTGCATTTTTCAGGCAATGGATTTTTTTTTCCAAAGTTGTAAATAACTCCCCTCTAGTGAGCATTCCTTGCGAACATTACTGGTACCAATGTTATGAAAAAAAAAAAGAGAGATAAAAGCAAATCAAGTGTTGCATTAGTAAGAATACTTGGGAATACATCTATTTTTATATTGCAGCTAATGTTCCAGAGAAAGCACCTCAATGCTTAAAGAATCTTTTGGCACAGTACTGTTAGAAAAAAAGAACTAACAACTAACTAACTTCTTTAGAAGTATCTGTAAAGGTGAATGGTGAAGCTAAGATAAAAATAATCTAAAATGCTAATCTTTCCTGTGAGGGTGACAGAGCCCTGGAACAGGCTCCCCAGGGAGGTTGTGAAGTCTCCTTCTCTGGAAATCTTCAAAACCCGCCTGGATGCCGCCCTGTGGCCCATGCTCTGTGTGTCCCTGCTTGAGCAGGAAGGTTGGACTAGATGACCTCTAGAGCTCCCTTCCAACCTTAATCATTCTGTGATAAAAGTCTTCTGCATTTTAGAGTCTGTAAACACATCCCTGCTTTCAGACCTGCCCTAAACAATCATTTATTTTATTGGTGTTTCAGAGTAATTCCTGCCACCATAATTACCTTCATTTTGTTCTGAACCATCTCTAAAATGTTAATATCTTCATTATGCACTAGCATAAATACAACAATAAAAAACATACTCCGGTCTATTACATAGCCTGGTGGTGCTCTTAATTCCACCTCCACATGTTCTTGAACACGAACTATACGGTCCCCAAGGTCCCCATTCTCCATCTACAGGACGTGTCTCCATTTCTCTGCTCACACAAATTCCATGGCGGCAGTGCTACATATTTGAGAATCAAAATAAAACATGTCAGTCAGTCAAAAGGTTACTATGCCTCAGGCTAAAAAATAACAGAATTTAATAGGTCAGTACTTTTATACAAGGTCAGGACATTCTCTCCTTTAAGGCATCTTATGCAGTGGCCATATTTTTAAAAACGCTGTCTAGAATCCAAACTCTCTGTGAATGTTACTGAATTCTGACTTATTTCTTTAGATCTTCTCTCTTTATTCAAACACCTAGATGAGGACCTCAAAATCCTGTCTCAAACTCCTGATATATTTTCATGCACAAACTTCAACGCTAGTTTGCAATAGTCTTATATGTATGAGAAACTTCCAGTTTTATTAGTTGACACTGGTTAATAACCTGAAATTGTATAATAACAAATCACCAATAAGTTGAAGCTGTTTAAGTATAGGAAATGCCAAAGCGAAAGCTAAGCTATTCTTAGCTACTGTAGGTAAAAAGAAAGGGAAGCTGCTTGGAAAAAGCATACAGATTTTCAGACATTTCAGATCTTCAGATCATGCTTCTACTCACACTTTAACAGCTACAAAGTAACTATTAAAATCTTTTAATTGTTTACTACTAATTTAATAAGTTTACTGTTCCTTAACAGTAATAGCAAATATTGTTTAAAGAAATAGTAATTTCAGAGCAAGATATTATATTGCAATGTCTATGTGTCAGTTTAGATTTGATTTCTGTTGAAAACTGAACAACATTCAGCTAAATAAAGTCAGCCAAAAGTTACAATTTTCATTTCACCTTCTGGGCTTTGAATTATCAATAAAAGAAAGATTGCCACTCTGTTATATTTTCTATTGTAGTCATGTCAGTTATGAAGCTTCACCACCTTTATCTGTTAGCCTAAATCATAATTTTTAAGGTCTTTTCAGAAAATGAACTAATGAACTTCCTGCTTCTCAGTATTTTCTAAGTCCACAACTCTGCCCATATTTATCCACTTGAGCAGTTACCCAAAAACCAGAAGACTAAAAGGTCTAAATGAGAATCTCATGATTGGTGCATGTGTGACTTTCTCCAAAGAATCTGCAGCATTATAAGCACTAATCCTACTGATGATTTATGACAGTTGGAATTCTAATTCACTTGCATGCTATAGAAAAACCTAAGTGGTATATTCGACCACAACATAGTGGAGGAGTTTATCTACCAGAATAGACAATTTATAAGGTAGCAGAAATTATAATATTACAACTCCTATCAATACGAATGTGTTCTCGATATCCTCCTCAACTTCAGTCTCTCTCTGAAGCATCAATGACACACTCCTGTGGAGACAAGACACTGGGCAGGATGGGCTATGCAGCATCAGTGCTCATACTCAACACTGGGAATTCTCTATTTTTGACAGTCATTTGGAAACTCGGGATTAAACCAGTACTTGGTTTTGCCATCAGGAAGGAATTCTCTGAGACACATTGACAGAGTGACTTATTCCCTCTTCCCCTGCAGCATGTACACACATCAGTTGCTAGTCATCAGAGCAGATCATATCAACTCAGCTCAGCTCAACGGCTTATTATTTCTGAGCACTTTTGCTTTTCCTTCTCTGCTCTCTGTGGCACTGAACAACATATTAACATCCAGAAGTCTAAAACACTTCTGTCTACCTAAAGCGCGTGTCACATAAAACAGTCTAAAGACCTGTGATACACAGAAGATCCATTTTTTCCATTTTATGCTAATTAAAATGTTACATGAAAATTCTAATTAGAAAAAAAATCTACTTATAGACATATGCAGCATATAAACATTTATTATGGGAACTATCAATGAACATGCATTTGGCTAAACACCCAGAAATGGTGTGTACCATCTTTCTGAATATACCTAAATAAGTGACATGTAACTCCTGGGCCCAGAATTGCCTGTATGTTCTTCTGTGGTTTCACCACTAAATAAAAAATTTACTAAAGCAATATTTTAAATGAGTATATGTTATTATATTAACACCTATGCTTATATTCTAGCAATCATTTTGCTCTCAGAATAGGAATCTGTGATATAATCAGATTCATTTTGAATCTGCCAGAGGTCTTAATCTAGCTGGGTTATAGAACAATCTACTTGCACAGTTCTTGCTCACTCTGTTCCACATCAGTGGAATCTTTTATGCTCTGAATAGCACCTTACAGCTGAAAATATGACCATTTAAAGCAAATTTGGGCCCAAAGCAAGCACAAAACAAAAACTACATGTACTTTGCCATAAAAACATCGAAATGATGTGACAAACTGGCCCAGTCACCTCTTGTCTGGTGATAAGGATAATGCAGTGACTTAACAATGAAAAGACACCCCATTTCACTGGGTATCTGCCTTGCACATTGTATCATTTTCCCACTACAGTTTTTACTGTTTTAATCAGTTTTTTATCAGAAGCACTCAGGGTGCCTTTGCATCCCAACCTTCTGATACTTTAATGAGGTAAAAGAATCACCAATTCAAAAATATATGGCTGCATTATGTCAAAGTGTAAATACAAGAAAACATTAAGATCCTGCGTTTCTTAGAATTTATCACTAGCATTTGAGGAAATGTATAAATACAATCAGCTAAAGATTCTAAATCCTATTTTACAAAATTAATACTGCATCCAGGAAGAAACTAGAAGCAGGAATTTATGATCTTCTTCCATGAAGGGAAAAAAAATATTTCAAGAACTTGAAGGAAGAATTCAGGAGAAGAGAGTTGTACAGTGAAATTTTATACCTACACAGCATTAATTTCATCCATAAAAATGCTAAGCATATGTTCGCATCTGGGATTTTAATAGCTTATTCAACGAACTTGTCTCAGCTATTATTTGCTGCATTCCTACAGAAGCAACATGATGAAGTCACAGTAGAAAACTCAGGCTCCAGACACTTTCCAGATGTTCCTTTGTGCTTTCTTGAATCATTGCTTTACTGAGAATACACCGATATTCAGAACTATCACAAACCTAACCACCAATGAGCTTTCCACCCTGTATTTGTAAAGGCAAATATAAAATATGTATCATATAAAATGAATATTTCTTGTAATTTCAAACACATTGATTACAGCAAGTTGCAAATCTGCTCTAATTTAGCTCATTAAAATGACCTTTTTCTGCCCAAAAGGTAGCAATTCTGACCCAAACCCACTTGTATTTATTATATCTAACAATATGAAAGGGTGGGTTAATGATTCAAATCCAGGGTCACTGAAGCTCTGGTATGCAAATTGCCATCCCCAATCACCTGTTTACAATAAGCAATTGAATTTGCACGAATGAATCCAACTATGGTGTTGCTAAGCTGATTTCAGGTATGCCCAGCATATCTTATAGCTTTTGTACTTGCCAAGGGAAGCAACTTTGGAAGAAATTACTAAAGCATTACCCGATAAGTTATGGTTAACTTATACTGAATCAGAGTAAGTGATAGATGCATGTACAGCAGCACTAAAGTTCTTCTGGAAGTAGCCATTTCTTACAACACAGTCTGACATCACTTTTGGCAGGAAAGCGACTGCCTCCAAGGCTATCTTGACTCCTCATATTCTCCAGATATGCTAGGTATAGATATGGTTTTTGGAGACCTTGAGACAAAGATTGAGACATCAGCCCTCAATGGCCAATGTGACAAACTCAAAGAGCATGAGTTGAGTTGGAGTCCTATCCAGCCTTGCAAAAGAGGGAGGTCATGAATAAGCAGTCAATTTACTTCCAGACACCCACATCTTTCTAAAGACCTTGCTGGTAGCTGCTTCTAAAAAGGAAAGGAGATGACTGCACAGAGAGGAATATATGAAAGAAATGAAAAGGATAAAGCTTTTCAGGATTAGAAATGGCCTACATTCTACCTTTCAAATATCCATCTATATTTCTCTGATTTCTTTTGTCTTATGACACATGAATTCCTCACCCCTTATACCCAGCCAGAGCCCTAAGATTATGGGCCAGCAAGTACTACAGCAAACAGCACAGAAGAATAGCACAGAAAGACAATAGCTATAGTGTACTGAAGGTGGGCAAGCAGAATGGGTGTTCCTGGTGCCACAAAAGAGACAAAACAAACAGCACACTCAAAGACCAGTTTGTTCTGCAGCGGCTGGTCTGCAGGTACCACAGACAACACACATTCTCAAAGCAAGTACCAATCACATAGAACTGGGACAAGTGAATGAATCTTAGAAGTTCAGCACATTCCACTAGTAAACCAGTAACCAAGGAATAAGAAGAGCACTCAGATGAATGCCAATGCTTACAAATGTCAGAGCTGTCCTTTCTAGCTCTACTAATCTTCATGGAGGGCTCCCATGCAGGCTCTTGAAATGAATGTACTACTACAGCCTCCTCCCTGCATGAGCTGCTGAATATGGCTATAAAGATTCCTTCTGTGGCCTACGAGGCCTCTCTCTGCTCCTCTGCTTGTTCCCATAGCACACATACTCCTCACACCTTTGCCACCTCTTGTTTCTGAGAGAAGATAGAGTGCAGACTCCAAGTAAAAATTCCAGGAGGGGTGGAGCCTATAGGACTATGAAATAACTGTGAAAATTGCAGGTTTAATAAAATGACTATTCTAGACAAAAGAAATGAGTTTGGAGAGATGTCTAACTTAAGCTGCCTACTACAGCATCACAGGTCTCTTTTATCTCTGCATTATGGATTTTCAGAGCAGTCTACACCTACCACTCATATTGAATCAATTATCTTCAAAATATTTTAATCAACTTTTCAACATTTAATTCTCTTTTACTATGAAATATTCCCACAGAAAATTTTATTTTTCTGAAATCATTTGTCATCAAAAAAATTTCACAAAAATCCCAGTTTATGGCAAAAAGTCTGGGTTTGAGGTCTCAAGTGTGTTTTACTCAATGCTTAAAGGACAATCTGCAGGTTCCCTGATGACTTATGTATTCCTCTATATAGTATTATCATCCAAATCAGTATTAAAATCCTTCAGATTTTTAGACCAACTTTACACGCATATACATACACAGAATGAACAGTTCTTTCAGGTTAACAATCTACATGCATTTCATTCGCAAGGTAGTCATACAACGTAAAGATTTTAAGAGAAATCTTCAATGGGTAATAACCTACAACCAGAGAACAGCAAACATGCCTCAAAATCCAAGACTGGTACTTCTTTTACTGATCAAAGCAATCCTTTCTCCTGCATCAGACCGAAAAATACTTTTCGGTCTGCATCAACAGTAAAATATCCCTGTATCCCTCTCCTTATGCGGCTATAAATGGACCAGGATAAAATCTTAACTCACTTAAGAGCTACTCTGGATATTTTCAGAAACACTAGCTCAATATACCATTTATATCTGCAGTGAATAGTAGTAATTAACATCTTTTCCTCTCTCTCTCACACACATGCACACACGCACTAGCGCATCCTTCGCAATCACATCGGCATTTGTATCATGTGTATTTCTTTTTGCTGCTAAACAGTTTTTCAGATTTGGCACGTTTATTTAAGTGGTGCTTAAGCTACAAACTGTCATTATGTGCAATACTGAGGCAGCAGAGAGGACGAGTCCTCTGGATGAAGAGTCCTCCATGAATGATTGCCACACTAGCTTCACTGGCTCCAGAACATGGAAAAGTCTGGGTTTGGATTAAATTGTTGCCTCCTAACTTGCCTTCTAAATTCTAAGGAACAAATGGAATAAGGACATGCTTGTATTCTGCCCAGGAATCCAGGAAAGATCAAACTGTAATTTGACTAAAAGACAACTGTTATTTTCATAGCAAAAAGGCTGATTCTAAGCAAAGCCATTCATGGAATACTGATGATTTCATCAGCTGTTCCTGATTTGAGGCTTTTCTTTTTGCTTAGATGATGTGCATTACCTCCTCTGTCAAATGAGTTATCCTTACTGGAATATCACACGAAGTACACACGTGATAAACACTGTATCACTGCATTAGATGGAAAAAAAAGACTGTGAGTGGGAATTCAGCTGAAGGTGGATATATATAATATCTATACTTTATCTTCATTACACAAAATATTGTAATTTTCTTACACAATGAGTTTACTCCTTTTGGTTTTTAATTTGGTCATCCACAAAATGGCACTGATTATTTTCTGTGAATGGGATGAACCACAATGAGAAAACTTGCCTGCAGATTTAGACTCATGAACAAATCTAGTGACTCCAGAGAAAGAATTCTACTTACTAACATGATTTTGACCTTTTCTTATTTGAACAGATGTATTTGCCAGGCCAAGACTTGAGTAACTCTCCAATCTCACTTTTTTTTGCTATAAAAAAAAAGAAAGCCCAGAAAAAAAAAGTTCAAATAAATTCCTTACTTCTTACTACTCTTGAACAAAATGGTCTCCAAAAAACTAAGAGAAACAGGTAATGAAGAAAAAGCAAGGGAAATCTTAACTCAAAGAGATAACCCTGATAGCCTGTTGGTCTGCAGTAATATTAAAGGAATTATTTTGTAATCCAATGCAACAAGGAAACCTAAAAGTAAGCAGAAGGCAAAGATCTATTCTAACTGTTCACATTTCCAAAACATCTATCAGATTATTTGTTACCTGGAATGTGGCAGAAACACTAACTATGAAGGTTAGGAACTGGCCCAATAAAAGCATTCCATATCTGCTCTAATGGGAAATAACTCTCTTCTATAAGTACTGTAAAATATAGTGGCCTCCACTGACATCCAGATCCTCACTGCAGCATGTAAATATTTTCTTTATATTCATGATTCCTTTTTAAAGCAATGAACCCAATGAAAGCAGCTTCACTACTGTAAAACTGGTAATTTCTCTCATATTGGTACATTTTCATATATTATTTTCTCTCTGAAGTACTAATTAGGCCAGAGAGTCTAAACTTGCATCCTCTGCCTCAGAGGCAGTCTGTGTGATGTTAAAAGAAGTGGTAGATGCTTAGACATCCTGTGGAGAAAGCAAACATAAAAACCACCTGAAGTGATGAGACACATGGAGAGTACCAACAGAGTGAGAAACTGCTTTTGGGGACAGCTGAATTACTACATTTGGGCCACAGGAGCAGTAAAAAAGAGAAGTAGGAGAGAAAAAAATTAAGAGCCTTATACAGAAGCCCCAAAAGTCCAAATATAATTAATTTCTGCATTTAACTCTAGAGTGAACAAAGTATATTGTGATCAGACAAAAATATGGATAGTAAATTGCAATGAAAGTGAACGGGTTTTCTATCTTAGAAATGGATTAGAAGAAATCCCCATACAAATATTTTCTTTACTCTTCACAATGATCTTGAATTAACTTAGGCTGCATTTTCACTTTATTGTTATAAGAAAATGCTACCAGTACCTGTGACTAATAATACATACACTAAGAAGTTGCTGAGCTCTACTGGTGTGTGCACCATGAGATACACAAGATAAAATTCTGTTTCAAAGCACTTGTATCAGCTATTGCCATCAGCTATGGCAAGAACATGCTCTATTAAAAAGTACAGACATTCTGAAAAAGCAGCTTATTATTTAACTTGAGTCTTTCACGTTATTAGATTTATTTCTTCATGTATTTTGTGGAAGGACAGGTATAGGGCCTGTTATATCAACACAGAGCAAAAAATGCTAACCAGGCATATGATCTAATATATATATATAAAATATATAAATATATATTATCTAAAAACATAATCCACCGTGAATCTAAATCTAAATGCTTAAAATACTGAAACCAAAATTACCAATGTCTTTCTATATTCACCACAGCAAAAAATGCTGCAAACACTATATATAAGTATTTATCATACTCAAAAATATTACAAAAATTACCTGCTATGTCTTATTCCTATCAACAGAAACACATAGACAGAAGCTGTTTCTTACGCAAGAAAAGATGACAATTTGTTCCAATAATTGCTGTTCTTTCTTACTTCTTTCAGAGGTAATGACTGCAATTATCTGTTCACTTCCTCGAGAGAACTGTTGGGTTTCACTGCAGTAATTACATGAAGTAGGTTTTTGTATACTTATGTAGAGGAAGCGCTCTGATGTTGTCAAATTTGAGCAAAGCCTGTTAAAACTAAAGGTTATATGTGAAGTTCAATCTAAATGAGCAAGCTTCCTTTCTTTTCAGTGTCTGACTCTGAATAATAGGTTAAAAGTTATATCATCAGCTGTATACACAGGACTCAGTCAAGCGATGCTTCCATTGCAGTCTTCAGAATAACCTTTACTGATTTTGCAAGACAGAAACCATGAGACACATTTTAATTACTTTAATTATTATTATTTTATTCAGTAAAACCATGATTTTCAAATTCCTCGCCATTTATGCTTTGTCAAATATGGAAAAAGAAAAAAGCAGTCTGTAAATTTTAAAAATTACTGGGGAAAATTCAGTAGTAACTAGTAATCTACCAGCAAGCAGAGTTAAAAGTAGTAATCTATTATACATAGAAATCATATCAAATAATTTAATTTTCATTAACTTGTCTTATTTATTTGACTATACAACTATATCAATAGATAAAAAACAACTTTGTTCCCATGGCCCCGAAGCCACCAAGACACACTAATATTAAAAGCAGCTCAACCTAGTAAACCCATTATACTTATCATTATCACTGTCCTATCCAAGCACATCAGAATCTCTGAAATATTTATTTTCACAATGCCCTGAAAGATAAGAAAACCCTTCTGTTTTCTGATGAAAAAAGAAGAAGCCAAAGAAGAGAAGCCAAAGACTAAATCTGCAGAGAACTAAAGCACTTCTGTTCATTTCCCGATCTAAGTGCAGCAAATCTAAAGCCACAACCTTCATATTCTCCCTCTTAACCCTGGACTCAGCTGATAGACACAAATACTTCTGTTTCTATCAAGGTTCTGTAAGTGCCTTGCCTATATCTACAAACTAGATAATCAAGATGCATAAGAAAATCCCATTCCTCAGAGCACAGAGATCAAGGATGAAAACTGCCCCATGAGGAAGACTGTGCTGCCTCTTCACACCAGACACTCTTTACCCAACAATCTAATGAGAAGGCTGTAGGAATCCAAGCTGCATTTCTTTTTCTTAAATTTTTTGTCTGATTCAACACATCACACAGGCAAGCAGAGTCCTAGAGAGTAGCATGTAAGTGAGAAGAGAGCTCCCAGATTTTAGCACTGAACAGATCCAAGTACCTTGAATTATGTTAAGAATAGACAAGGCAGTGCAAGTTATGTGTAGTCAAGACACTTTCTGGAATGACTGAAGATGCATCTGTGCATGCTTACATACTTTGTGTGAAACAGCTGCAACACAAAAATGTCTTTTTAAGGCAGGAATCTAAAGGAAACTGGAAGACTTCTCAAATGAGTACCTCAGTTATACAAGTACACTTCTACTTAACCACCTCTAGCTCAGAGGAACTGCCTCAACATGACAAATTGGGGAAAATAAGCTTTTAGGAGATCTTGTCTCCATGAAATTCATCTCTGAATTATTACTGGCCAATGTGGCAAAAAATACGTGTGAATTTCAAACAACAAATGGGACATATCAGATTTTCCCTGAGATCTATGAGCTTTTACCAGTGAGGCATCTGTAGAAATTTAACATTTATCAGCGGACAACTTGTGTTATATCACGCCATGAGTAAGAGAAAATAAGGCCAGGTTCACACGATCGCTACACTCCAAGCCCAGGACTGCCCCGCAGCACCATTGATCTGTCTTATCTCCATCAGTGACTGTCACGGGCAAGCGCTGATAAGCAAAGAAGGGCTTACCATTCCCACACCACAGGCCGTGCCGTCAGCCAAAGGCATGTGCTGAGTCCGACAGCCCTTGTGAACTCCTTCCGTGCTTGTGCACCATAAGCGTTTGCATTGTTTCTGCAAAGAAAAACAACCGTGCTCGTCACGCTGCTTTGGGTGGTCACCAGGGTGTTGGCATCGCTCCCCCTCACACTTCGGGTTGTAACGTGTTTGTCACACAACTATGTGAAAACACAAAGCAGGGTTTTGTGGGAGGCCAGAGAGTGAAAGGGAATATTTCAAGACTGATTTGATGAGAAATCAAAGATAACTTAATTTATGAAGTTAGTAGATAATTTGAAATAAAAGTGGATAATAAAAAAAGCAACTAAGAGATTACAGTTGTTACTAAGTAAGCGCAAAATTTGAATGTAATTCCCAGAAAAAGGCAAGAACTGGAATTATTTTTTAAAAAACAGGTTGCCTAAAGAACTAAGAGGAAATCCTCCTTTTCAACTTGTTAAAAAGAGTTTTTAACGGACAAATCAACTCTTATGTATTACAAACACTACAAAGTAGTTCTTAATAAAACATCTTCAAGTTTTAGATCCTGCTATCCTTTTCTATCCTATAAATCGTGACATCTCCTAAACAGGACTTCACTTCACTGGCAGACTTAATTCAGTCTGGATCTCACCTTAAGCTCTCTTCTCTAAACAGCTCCAACAAGTCATGCTATGACTGTTCTACAAGTTTGTCCAAAATCTGACTGTGCCAGTAGTGAATCAAGTCATCATGTTATATTTGTATTTTACATAATATTGACAAACAAGCCCCATTCAGGTTTTCATTGTTTTACACATCTACAACAGTCTGTGCATAGCTTTCTTTCCAGATCCCAATTTTGCTAGAAATATAATTTATATTGTTTAAACATACAAAACACACATACCAACAGGCATGAGAAACATGCAAAGAGTTCTGATTCTGGCAAAGTAGGAGTACTCTATACTTTGGAACAAACATTTGGGCAAATTTTGGAATTAAAATACTAAACTTATAACTTCTATAAAGGTGCTCTTAAGATAAGTAAGCAAAAGAGAGCTGTAGTACTGTGGTTGTTATGTGAAAACTACCAATTGTAAAAGCCTCTGAAATAGAAATAATTCCTTTTCTGATGATACAGGAATACAGTTATCGATTTTAAGGAAAGCATAACCATACTCCTGGATGTGTAAATCAAAGTTAATTCATCTTACGTGTTAATCATATATTTCTAGCATATGGAGCTGTAGGTTTTCAGCTGAAGGTTTTCCCCTTTGACATATATCAGGATAACGCTATACCTAAAAACTGAGTTCCTGAGATTTCCCTATAAAGCCTATCTTTCAGTAATTATTAATTAGTAGCATCTATTAAGCATAAGTCTGTGCCTTGTCCACCTACCAGATAGGGGCATACTTGTGACCCAAGACCAAACATAAGTTCGCACTGCTTATTGACATCATACATTGATCCAGGCAGCTGAGAGGAAAGATCATAAATTCTTCCACTCGGTTTGTCTAGGAGACATTCACCATAACCAGTACTATTGTAAAAACAGGAACAAAATGTGAATTAATCACTCCTAATTGATTCATCAGGGGCCAAATCACAAAACATTTACACATGCATGTCTCAATGAAGTTAATTATGGGTTCATATGAGCATTTTCTCTTAATTCCTTCCCAAAGAAAGACTTTAAGCAAAAAATAAACAAAGACAATGGTTTTTTTTCTCCAAATACTTTGTCATCCTTTTGTTACCTCTCCTGCAAATTGTTCCTTTTAACCAGAATTCTTCATTCACAGTGCTTCCAAAAGGTTTTATTAAAGATACCTAACTGATGTACTGAAGTAATGGAAGTACTCATCATCAAATGAGTTAAATGTTTCCAGAAGATCGACACCCTGCAAGTCAGTGGTTAAAACAGTAACAGCAACAATCTTCATATTTAAGCCATACTTCTAAAATGCTTTTCAGAAAGACATTATACTGATACTTACTCAAGAAATTCAGTGATATATTTTTGACTGCATTTTGACCATGTCCATGGACTTGTATGGTAATTTAAAGTTGGAGCCATCACATGGTATTGATGTTTAATTCCAGCTTCTTTACATTTAAAACTGTCATCATGAGGCACATTAAATCTAAAACACAAAATAAACAAACTCCAAAACAAGTTCAGTAACAGTTAATTTAAGCTCTTTTGATTGTAGCAGCAAAAGCCCAAGTTTTGAATTTGAAAATGCCTTGCAAATTATGACCATCTGACATGGCAAGAAATGTAGGATGTCTACATTAGAAATGCTTTACAAAAATTCCATCCTTATCCAAAATTCTCTATATAATCCACAGAATGATGGACAAAGTAAGAATTTCCAAGTAATTCTTTAGCAAAATACTAATCTTTTGGGAATATGCCACTATAGATAATCATCCCCCAACTACAGAACTGATTATGCAGACCATAACTGGACTACATTTGAATTCATTAATCTCAGCTCCAACCTTTGAATAACTACACAGAGTACATCAACATTCTCCTTTTTATGATTACCATATATTTTGTAGTTCAGTTTAAGTACTGTGACTAATGGCATGTACTCAAATGAACTTCCAGTCATACAAAAATCAACAAACTAGCTGAGCTCTGTAATGCCATCATTACCTACACTCTGGCAGGCCTCATGGAGCTATAGTATAGCACCTGTCTGGCATCTCTGATGAAGTATGCTCCAAAAAATAAAATGCTGTCAGCTCCTCTTATTTTTCTCTGTAAAATGTTTCCCTTTCTGTTATTCTATTGTATTCTGAAAGGAGCGAACAGAAGGAAGAATATTTCTGTTATATTAAGAATTGTCTTAATATTAAATTTCTATTGAGTCTACAGCACAATGAACTGACAAGACTATGTTATATATCCGAGATAGCTGTCCTAAGCAGTTCACATGGTGGACAGTTGGAATACAGCTGTATGGTGAGCAACTGGATAAGCTATAAGGATCCAAGGCTTCCTAGATGGTGGGCAGAATTTGCTCAAAGCAAGGAGTAAAAATAATGACTCTCCTAGGAGAGTCACAGACACAGCAGACTGCTCCCGCTTAGAACTGAACAGCATATCATTGGAAAATGATTATATTCAAAGGAAAATGCACAACTTTACCTGCTGGGAAATAGGTACTTACACATGTCCAAGTTCATGTGCTATCGTAAAAGCAGCACTTAATCCGTTCTCTTCGCTTATAGAACAGCTGCGTAGTGGGTCACACATTGTACCTAGCTCTGCTAAACCTGCAAAATGGAACTCTTATAGAAGCTCAGTAGAACAAGCTTTCCTGTGGAAGGAATGACTCCATAAATGAATACTATGGCACATGTGTTCAAAGTCATGATGAAACTATGCAGCCAAACATATAAAAACAAACATCATGTACCATTAAAATATACAATATTTTAATATAGGGCACAGAAGTATTGCACAGTTCATTTTTTTGTCCATGCCACTTTTTTGCATCTATTTTCTGATTTTTGCCTGGCTACAATGAATTCTCTTACAAGCTTTCTGAGTAAAATCATACTGATAAGAAAGAGAGTAACTCACCAAGAGTATCACACTTTTCTCTAGCTCTGCAGATATCTTCCCTTGAAGGAAAAGATGTATTTTAAAATAATACGTCAAGTAAAAAGAACATTTTGTATTATTTCAGTGCTGCTACATAAATTACAGCAATTGAGAATCTGATGCTCAGTTTTTAATCTTACAGTCCATTTGAACAATTTGCATTCTGATGAAAGAAGTAATTTAAATTCACCAGATTAAGCTCACAGTATCGCTTTCTGTCTAGCTTGAAAAGAATAACAATTCAACCACTAAACTATTTCATTACAATGCTCATAAAATAAATCAAGTACAAAATGCTGCTGAAAAATGTGCAGATTTTAGTATATATGCAGATACCTTATGCAGGTGTCCATCTGCTAAAATAATGACGTAAAATTAAGGACAAAGTCGAATCACTTTAAGTGCTGGGGAGCATCTAACTTGAACACCCGAAAAGGATTAAATAAAAAGAACAGCAAGAGAGACAGTATTTCAACAAACATCAGAAGTTTCCTTGAGGAAAAGAGAGTGCAAGAAGAATGCCTACTAATTTTTAATTTTGTTTTCACATTTGTAAGTTTTTAGTAATTCTAATTATAGATGCATTTTTCTTTCCCTGATTCCATTAGATTCAGTAAAATACCATGTCATTGCCACTTATACAATAAACCTGTAAGAATTTCGAGCCTAAATTTCTATTACCATCAATGAAAATGTTATCAACTCATTAGCTACTAATATGGTATTGTCAGAGTTACTGCTCACATAACTCATAAACTGTGGTTTGGGGAGTAAAGATATTCTCTATTTTTCCAACTAGCTATGAAAAATATCTGTGGAAAGTTTAAAAATAATGATGTCACAAAGAAACAGAATAGTTGTCTGACCTAGCTGAACCAGCTTGGCTATTTCAGATACTGTACCTAGTGATAAGAACAGCGGTGTCATGGTGGGAAGGGTGAGCATCATCCAAAATGTTTTGTGCTTGCTGCCATAAGCAAAAATTACGAAGAGTGGTAGCTGCATTAAAAGTAATAGCTGGTCCTTCCTAAGCAAGAAACGGCAAGAAACAGAACAGGTTTGTAATATTCATGCACTTGCCCTTCGTATTCTGTCATTTGTGCCCCATATCTGTAAAATGATCCCTGTGAATGGAAAGGTCAGCAGGACTCCCCAAGTTCACTCGCACACATTTGTTTGTAGTATCAGGTTTGTCATATCAGGACTTAGCTAAAAGTCATTGCACATCAAAAACATTATTTTTAATCAATATATAGAAGCATGCATCATGCAGACAGAGAAAAATTGGGTGGTGAGATAGTTAGGAAAAATAAATATTTGAAAAATATCTACTTGTTGTAATCTGAAAACACATTTTACAATAATTATATTTGCTTTGACTGAAAACTTGATCAAAACCCCCTAACAAAAGTCATCATTTCCCTGTCATGCTTGCATGACTATAACTCTATTTAAGATAGCCATGCCAAGCTCTAGATAATCATGCCACAACCTTTAAATCCATTCAGGTCAAGAGTAGGTTTTAACAGAGAAATGGGGAAATAAAGTAATTAAGTAAAGTATCTGCAATTATCCTCTGTGCATATTAATTAAATCTGCTGTGTGCTACCGCAGCATTTCTTCTCTTTTTAAACAGCATATGTCTATACTCAAAGAAAAGAATATATTTAAAAATACTTTACTTTTTTATTTACAATGAAAATTTACATATAATCTTTTAATAAATATTTTTCCTACCTGTTCATTGTGAATTACAATTAACTTTACAATAACTATATTTATAAGATTTCCAATACTTGAATCTTTATAGATTGCTGCAACCTAAAGAGAAAAAAGCCAGGAAATTAGAATATGAAATTCATCTGAAAAAACAACTTTGTTCTGACACACAAACAAGCTGCTACACAATAGATATCTCCTGCGTCCATCTGTACATTTCTACCTAATAGTATGATGATAAATTCAAAGTTTCAAAGTAAGATGGTACCTCAAAATAGTTCATATTTACAACAAGCACAAAGGTCAGAATATGCGCAAATCGTGTTGTCAAAATCCACTACCAATAAGAAAACTTATTATCCTATCATAGCTTTCCTAAATGCAAAAAAAAAGGAAAAAAAAAAAAGAAAAAGAGCAGTGTTTTTTAAATTCCCATAGTTAGAATTTTATATTAATTCTCAAAGTCAGACATCATGCTGATAATGTTGTTGTTACTTAATGCAGTAAGAACAAGACAATCAGTCTAGACATAAGCTGCTTCATGTGGATGATTTGTAGAATCAAGACCCAGCATATTAGAGCCTCAGAAAACAACCCTGAACTAATTATTTTGTCTTTGATTTTAATGGAAGCCGGAAGTCTGGCGTGTTCTAAACCTGTGTTGAAAGCCCACCTGACACACTGTGCAAAGGCTTATTTCCTCACGTACAAAGCTCATATTTACACACCAGACATTTTCATCTAAATCTTATGGCTAGACAGTAAAATTCATGAGTCAAATCCACAGACCAAAACAGAACCATTTTGAAAGATCCTCTTAATAAAGGCAATAAAAACGTTTATTCGTGCTCTGTAATGTCAGGTTCAGACGTCCTGTCCTTAGGGGTTCCACCATTTTGCTTAAAGCAGCTGCTAAATGACAACATTATTTAAATAAGAGCTACCACCAAACAGGGAATTGTCGTTTTCCTCCCTCCTGGCTTGTAATCCTATCGTCTGCAAGGCTACAGAAGGAAGGGGATGAAGGAACTAATCACATTGATGCAGATCAGCAAGACCTCACCCACGATGCAGAAACTCAGGCCCGAGGGCTGACAAAGGGCAAGAGGCTGAGGAACAGACTTCCCTTAGAGCACCCTACATTTGAGGCTGCTTGTCAAAGCACATCCTTGCTGGGTACCCATCCTATGTGCTGGAGATTAAACAGTTCTGCTAAAAGTTATAACAAAGCACTGACTCCCACACTCTTTCCTTAAAGTGGATAAAAGGTGCATTGCAGAACGGTCTGCCCTTCATTTTTTCGTTGATACCCAAGTTGGAAAGAAAGCTCTATAGGAGAGGGAAGGAGTCTGAGCCTTGGGATCCACATGGAAAACACACTTCAGAGAAGCACAGTTACTGTCCATTTCCCTTCACATGGAGACCTCCTTGGTTACAAGCCAAAAGTCTCCAATAACTCTAAGGTGGGAATGAGGAGTCTCTCTCAAGCCCTGGCAAGAGCGCTGCTAGGACAGGACACATTTGGAACACCTCTACTGCAGAACAGGTTCCTGGATTTTCTGTTCTCATTTATGGCTACTGATTTAGTTGATGGATTTACCATCATTCCTAATGATTAATTCCATAATAATAGCACCCTGAAAAATCAATTACAGTCATCTGAGTGCTGTCTACTGAGGTTATGTGTTAGCAAAATCTGAAAACACAGACAACACAAGTCTACAAACACAAAACCTTGTTAGGCGACCTCCTCCCTACCTTATGACACAATGTCCACTTAAAAGATCTGACAAAATTCTTCAGAAGTAGATGTGTGAATGTGAGGGACTGAAGCAAGTTGCTCGTATTTAAGAGCTGCATCATCAGTCTCATAAATATGAGAGGAATATCTCACTGCATCAGTCCTGCACATTAGGTTGTGCAGGAAGGAAATGCTATAGGATCTTCAGCTCCGCATCCAAGTAACACCTGCTGAGTAAATGCACTAAATGATCTCGTGGGTATCTGTCTGAAGCACACCTGAGGTCTGAAACGATGCCATCCAGATACCTGAGGCCAGCAGATCTCAATAGAATCTGAAGCCTATTTTCTCTCATATTGGAGACACAGGTAAGATCCTGCTAAACTTAAAAACTAACACTGCTCTCATTACCCCTCTTTTTGAGTCAGAGCACAGATCCTGTATCTCATGGCCACTATCATGACCTCCAAATATCTAATTACCACTACCAATGCTTTAAAAAGATCACAGAGTAAATTGTATGAGATGCTCCTACCAGTGATGTAAGGTATTTTCTACAGGCTGGATGAAGCCCATGTGCAAAAAGAAAACTCCCGAGAAACTGAGAATCACAAAGCAATCTTGAAGATTTATCTAGGGAACTGTGCAGGCTAGAACCATCAGCTGAGACTGAAAGGACAGATTAATGCAGTGAAGTGTCAAAGGTCTGCAATAACACATTCTTTTTTATTTTTAGTTAAAAATCAATAATGGAACAAGGTCTCTCTGTTTTTGTATTCTAAGGCACCTCTTCCATCATTCACTTACTTGAACAGTAAATTGTAAGAAGCACTCATGAAAAGGGATGATGGTATCGGGTAAGTATTTGACAGAACACATTATTTCTTTACAATTTCCAGACCCACTGGCTTTATAGTGATCTAAATCCAGGCTTCACAGAAGGAGGAGGTGAGAGCCAAGATAAAGAGAAGTTACCTTCAAGGATTTTTTAAGACTCTTAATATCAGCAACCACATCACAGAATATGATTCAGATTGCACAACAACAGAAAGAAAAAAAGAAAAAAAGAAAAAAAAAAAAAAAAGGATCTGAGATTTCCGTGGAATTCCCAAGGATTAAAGCCACCTCTTCTGACCACCACAGGTGTGGCTGCCAGGTGACTGGAAGCAGTTTAGGCACAACAACATTTATGTTCTCTTGCTGTCAGTTTTGTAGCCAGCCATCAAAATGAGAGTGTTTGAATTGTGAATAAAAGCCCTACTGAGAAAGAGGCAATGTAATAAGTAACCACATCTGGAGGCTGCAAGTAGGTTATATAGGCAAATACAGAGCTTCTTCAGAGCTTTTTCTCCAGTTATCACATCACAGAATCTCTTTTTTCTGTTCTCTCCTGCTACGTACAGCCATGGTACCAGAGGAATACAGACGTTCAAATCCCTTGAAAGAAACATGATATCACTTCTTGGCTCACAGGTCTTTTGCAGACTCCAAGAAACTCTTATTTATCATTGTAGTGCTGACGTGAAATGTGAAATATCCAGGATCTGGGAGATTTCTCCTTCACCTCTTTCACTGGCATATCCTGATTCTGTCATATATTTTGTAAGACCCCAGAATTGTCTGCAGTTATGAGATAAAGAAGTCATCATAGCATTTATTGATTCACTATGAGAGAATGAGGAAAAACTGTGTTTTCCATTTCTGCTGGTATTACTCTTCAAGAGCTCCATCCTTCTGTCTTTATTGTACAGAGCTGCCTTTTTCATTGGAAGAACTTAATACCAAGTGCAAAGACCTCTCATGCAAGCTCACCTCAGACTTATCCTTTCCTTTTTTTCCTGAGATTTCTTTTTTTTTTCTCCCCTGGGAGATTTAGGCCATCTCCTGTAATCAAAGTCTTCTCCAATCTACCATCCCTCAAGTTTACTAAATTCAGTTTCCAGACGACTCCTTATTGTGTTTTGATGGAGACAAAAAGAAAGAATATGCCCCTTTTAAAGACTGATTCACCCTTTTAATGATTGATTCACTTTTTTTACAGGATGCCTCAGAATTGCCTTATTAGCTTGGAGATGGATTCCAGTGCAGAGATATCCCCTTGATATTGCAATAACTTGGCAGTGACTTAGTCATCCCATCTTCAGTCTCCTGACAAAAACAGAGGCCAAGACACATCGAATCACATCACAGACACATCATATCAGATCACATCGAAAGGTGCAGGTGTATGGCTCAGGTGTCAGAGCATCTCATTTTATCTTTCCTTTCAGTATTTGAAAAGACCATTCCCAATGCACAACTATAGTTAGGCTTCTCTAGCCATTACAGGGGTGCTCAGAAATAGAGATGCGTGAGTGTTGCTTGGTAAAATGTCTCCTTCCATATTCTCCCTCTCATTCCTTCATACAGGAATATATCAGCCTCAGCTAGCTAGGCCCACAGCCATAGTCATTGCCAAAAAATAACCTGAGGAACAGCCTTGAACACTGAACTACCACGGAGAAGATCACAGGGCCAGGCATCAAGCTTAATTATGGAGTATTTAACTACGAAAAAAAAAAGCTAACAGTAGTAAATAGCAGAAGCAGCAGTGAGGTGTAAAGATGAGCAATTCTAACCTGCCTCAGGACTGCAACATTTCAAATCCCTATATTAGCTCATGGGAACAGAGAGATATGAGGCATTAGACATTCAATACACAGACTAACTACAATAGTAGCATATCTGTAAGGAGGGTCACAATAAAAAAAGGAGGCTTTTCTACACATTTAGACATCTATACCTCAAGAAATGCAACAAGTGTAGCTCACAGAACATTGATACAAATGATACTTTGAGATCAAGTGTTTCCAACTTTGTATATTCAGTGGTGTATAATCAAACAGATGTTTTGAAAGAAATAATTATGCCTTAAAAGGAAGATCATTTATCCTGTGATTCTTAAATATGTGGAGAAGGGAAATGAAAAAGTATAGGGGTTAAACAAGAAAAAATGGCTTTATGACAGCTCTGTAGATTTAATCCAATGTAAGATAAAAATTCTAGAATATTAGTAGAGCACTAGTCAAAATCCACCATTTAGAATGGTTGAGTGAAATGCACAAGTAGTAGTCTTTAAGTAACTGGATACGAAAATAAGCAATATACTCTTTCACAAAATTTTGAATTTAGAAATGTATTTTTCTTTCCATGGGCTGCTCACACAACAGAAATACGATTCATTGAAAAGATTAACTGAAAAATGATTTGAATCTATTGCCCATGTTTTAAATTATGACTATGTGGCAAAATCGATAACAGGAAATATTCCTCAATGCTAGAATGCATCTAGACATTTTTCTGGAATGTTTAGCAGAAATGAAATACTGCTTGTGTGTTATGATCTACAAAAGAAGTATAAAAACATTCTTTAAATTCATGCCCCGCTGCTGCAGGGGTCTCTCCACAGAGAATATGTTTTGGGACAGTGCTGATAATTAGCTGTTAAGAATGACAAAAAAAAATGAAGTACAAACAGGACATGAACTTTTTTTTTTTTTTTTTTTTTTCCACTGTACTCAACTGGTTACTCATTGCTTCACATCTTACATCTTCATAAATTACAATTGCCACAAAATGTTACTAAAATGTCTATTTCAAGCTACTTCAGTGGTAGTTTGATTTTCACATCAAGAAGGCTACACACGCGCAAAAGACGTGGAGAGTCAAAGCCTCACACTGGGAACTAACCTGGATGAAAATTCTAGAATATTATTAAAAATGATATTTTAAACGGCATTTTTTCACATTTTACGACAATTTAATGCCATTTTACGATCACACAGCCCTGCTGTAAGCGAAGCGCCCTAAGCCAGCGCCGTCTCAATGGTATCCTTGCCTACACGACTGGCTCCCTCGGTACCCAGCTCGGCCTCGCACATGACGAGGCAGGCGGCCAGGCGCAGGAAGGAGCCGTGTGGCCGTTAGGGGTGTGGCCGCGCGACCGTTAGGGGTGTGGCCGCGATGGCCGTTAGGGGTGTGGCACAGCGGGGTTTGCTCCCCAGCTGTGCTGGAATAGGCTACGAGGAATTGCTGTGAATAGACCAGAAATAGGCTAATAGACTTCACTAGCAAAGTTTAAAGAGCAAAGATTCTCTCCAAAATTTCTGTAAGCAGGTCGCCAGTTCAGGAAACGAGGACAGTGTCACAAAATATATCATGGAACCAAATTTGAGGAGCCCTTAGTGTTATCACAATAACCTCTTTTAAGAGTCTTTTAAGAAAGGAAACAATTACCAGGGGAAATGAAAGGGTAGTGGGTTTTTGTTTGTTTGTTTTGTTTTGTTTTTCTGTTACTTTCTAAGCCAAGATCAAGCCTCACTATTAGGGATTGCAAACTGTCACAATCTATCATGTGCCTAAGATAACAGAGTCCTCCAGCTACTGTATCTATTAAGGCAGTCTCTGTTATCCACTTTGCAATTCAATGCCTAATAGAGTATTAAAAAAAACCCTAAGGAGCTAGCAACCTCGGGTTTCTTTATTATTTTATCATTATATACTAAATAATGGCACAATTTATCATATTTCAACACAAGATCTTTGAAGTCCCAAGCATTTCTCTGGGAAGGATATTCATTGTGCTTTAAATACATATTTCAACCAGCAACAAGTATTTCCAAGACACAAGTAAATGCTGTGAATACTGATCTTGCAATGAATTATGCAGTTTTAAATAAATGAGAAAATGCATTCCAGTTCTTGTTCAATGGGATTACTCGCATGCTGGGAGTTAAGCCTTTCCAGGTTGAACTGGATAAATGACAAAACACTTAAAACCACCCCAAAACTAGTAGTAGGTTTCAAGTCTTATTTTCTATCCATAAAACAGTAGCAAACTTACTGTAGCAGCATTGCTGATGTTAAAAATAAATAAATAAATAAATAAAATAAAATAGGGCTGGGATTTCAAAGGATCTAAGTGTCTAAGTTTCATTATTCAAATTTAACATTTTTTTTTGTAATTTTAAGTTTCTTTAAAATCCATGACAAAAAAGAATATCCTTAAAGGTTTTGGGCTGATTAAAAAAGTAGAGTAGAATGTCTCCTTCATTTAAAATGCCAACAACCTGGCAGTTTCCTGCACCAGTAGAAATTATTTGACCAGACACAAGTATCACCTAAATTTTATAATCAAACCTTTCTAAAAAATGGCAGAAAGGATAAAAATTATTAGTTTCATTTCTTCCCTTTAAGGAAATAAGACTAAGAATGGCTGTGTTTGAAACATCAATAAGCCATGAGTCAATAAAAGACTCACCTGCGCACTGACCAATTCTAGTATTCTATTCATCATATTTATTAGTAGCTACTGAAACATAACTTTTTTTTATGCCTATATTTGATATTCTTGGACACAGCAGAAGAGGATACAAGTATGGGGCAGGGTCACATCATTTCCAGGGGTTCCTTGCAACTTCTTCAGTTATTCTGATTCACAGCTGAAATCGTTTAAGGACCACAGGTCACTAAGCTGTTATTTGGGATACATACTCGTAGGGGAAAACATTAAATGGAGTGCAAAGAACCTTCCGGAATTAGGAGCTGAGAATACATAGTTTGTGTTTTGAACAAGTTTTGCACTTCTAAAAGTTGAATATTTCTAGCAATAAAGTTTCAACAAACTGTTATTTCAAGGCTACCTTCAGAAGTAGCAGATGTACATGTGGAACAAGAGCTGTCAGAAGACGCTAACCACACATCTTACTGAATACTATATTAGAAAAAAGATATTAAATTCACATTAAACGTATTTATTTTATTGTATGCCACTGCCTCAAGGCCAGCAATAACCGATCTTTGCCCCAGTTCTAGAATCTCAGCATAGAGATACGTGCAAGAATGAAATCATAACCTTTCTGGCAAAGAATTGATGTTCTTTCATTCAACAGATTTCACATGCTAGATCCTAGAAACAGTGCATATAAACTCTTCTTTAACTGCAATTATACAGGCTACAGATATCCTATTTAACTAGTAAAAGTCCAGTTACACAACTTAGTGATTACACTAGCTACAATCATAACAGTGCCTCACGAAATGCAGACACTAAACATTCCTTTTTGTCTTACTTTAGCTTTGTGAAAAACAGCTTCCATTTTACAATAATGTTTTGATTTGGAATGCAGCTCTGCATCAAAAAAAAAGTAGCTTTATAAAAAAGGCATCTTTGGGATTGTTTCTAAGTGAATTACAATTTGAATTTGCACTGTAAGCTCAAGGGGGGAAAAAGGAGAAAGAAAAAACTACATTTCTATACTGAAATTTTTAAGTCAGGCATGAATTTTCATAGATTCACATCAGTAGTAGGAAAAGAAAAATCAGAAGACTATATCAAATTAATACAAATTAAACATATGCTGAACCCCACTTCAAAATTCATTATTTTTCTTATAAACCAAAGAAAATTCTAGCTACTCCATAGTATCAACTCTTTTTGTAATGATGGTTTTTTTTGTAAAGTTCTGAGATCATATAAGAAACTCTAGCAAATAAGGCAATACAGATTTTTTCAAGCATGATACAGATCAAAGCCACACTTCAGAAATGCATCTTCCTTTGTAAGATCCCTTGATAAAATGTGTAACTGCACAGGACTGAGGCAGCCAGTAATGGCAGATTATAGCACCCTAGCACTTCATTGTAAGGCAACTGTGTACATTGAGCAGGGAAAAAAAAGGCAAATTTTCCTTCCTTGAAGTCTTCCTTCTCCACAAATTCTTTCAATGAATATAATGTTATTCTAAGTAGAATGAAAGAAACCCTAAGACTTTTTAACTTAGATATCTACCTTATGTGAGGAGTGACTGCATCTCTACTGCCATGAGTAGTATCTAGCCATCAAAGTTAAGGGGACTCAGCTCAGCTGCCTACCTTGTGCACCCAGTGTCATCTGAGATGCTAGAGGCACCTACACAGAACTGCCAGGGACAACAGAGGACCCGAGGGGACTTGCATCCCTCTGTGGAGCAGCAGGTGGGATGCACCAGGGCAGCTTCAGGGCCACCAGACACCTCTCTGAAGCTAAGGCAACTTCTGCTCACCCAGACGTAGGTGTCGACACTTGAATGGATGAATTGTTCTCTACTGGTAAAGCAGCCAGCTCTACCAATACATACATTCAGATGTCTTAATCTGTGAGCCCAAAGTAAGATACAGTTTAATAGAAATTAAACTCCTTGAATAGATTAAAATGTAGTAATCAGAAATAATTATTACCTTTTACTAAGCAAAACTAGTTCAAATGTCACTCTAAGTCTTGTGCCCCAACTCAAAATCCAACTCATCTGAATTTGAAATGACTTGAAAAACTAGGATTAGTATAACTAGTGTAGCCAAGATTTTTTTTTGCAATGACTTTTAACCTCTGTGTCTGTTGTAATTAATCTGTGTGTTTAACTCACTGAAGCTTAAGCAGTCACAGAATCACAAAATGGTTAGGGTTGGAAGGAACCTCCAGAGATCATCTAGTCCAGGTTTCCTAATACCACAGCAGGTCAGGAAAGAGATTATGCCATTCTACCTCCAAACTCTACTGCATTAACATGAAAAGAGCTAGAACTGGATTGGGCCCTGATTGTTATGTTTATCAAATCTTTGCTTTAATACAGAATTTAGTCAAACCAAAAGACAGAAAATCTACATAAGAAAAAACACCAGAACAAAAATAACAAATTCCTAATACAAATGAATTGAAGTTTACTTACTATTGACATCAGTGTTAATATATAGTGCTGTAAATTCTGCCCATGATGACGGACCATTTTGGTGTCGGCTGTAACCATCACTTCTACATATCTTGGGTAGGAAAGAAAACGCCTTTTCCGGGAATGTCGATTACTGCTCCCATCCTCCAGAGACAGGTTTTTAAAAGCATAGTCTAAAACAGGGGACTTCTGTAAAACTTTTAACTCCTCATGTAAACTGCTGAAGTTTGGATGTAATAAAGTGCTTTTCTTCGATTCTTTTTCTATAAGATACAAGAAGATTTACTGTGGAATGCACTTTCTAAATTTAAAAACAGATAGTGAAAAGGCTGCACAAAGTAGACAAAGCAAGAAAGTTACTACATTTTTGATCTATTTCCAAAAGGAACCAAACCAACATTTAAAATATATTTTAAGTAGAGAGGTTGTAATAGGAACATCAAATGCAATGTCTTGTATAATAATATGCAGTTCTCTCACATATGGAATTATTATTAACTTTAATTGAAAGTAGATAGCAGTAATGTATAGTTTCAAGAATGCATTGTAATCTAAGCAGATGGTCTGGAATGAGGTTAGCAAGTACAACTTAAGCAGTATAGAAAGGAAACAGGTTAATTAAATAAAACAGCTATGTTTCCAGACAAAGATTTGACCCAAACCAATCATATGCCAGGTATTCCATAACAAAGACTTGACCCAATTTCTGAATTCAAATCTTGTTTTTATTATTTATTTAAATATTTTTACATTTTTATGAGCAAAAGTTTTTTTTTTTTTTGCATAAGCAATTATGTATTAAAAAAAAAAAAAGAAAAAAGAAAAGACCTCAGTGACTTGCTTGAAAGCTTTGTTAATATTCATCACCTAGGTTAAGGTTCTGAAGGAAATATAAAACTGACTTGGATATGTCTAAACTACATACTGAAATGCATCCTAGTTGCATTACACAGTGTAGCCCAGCAAAGGTATTCAGAGTCTGATTTAAACTTTATGCACACTTGGGGGCCTGTGATGACAGATACACAACAGCCATTAGTCAACCAGGGAGCCACCTTTGAAACTGAGAAGCACGTCTGAGTTCTCACCAGTTTCCAGGACTTAAACATCCTCTTAAGATGACAGGACTTAAGCTCCATCCTCTCAGAACCAACCTCCATTGCCTTTATGGATGGCGGATTCCCTCCTAAAAACTAGCCAAAGGACATGGCTCCATCTTTTTATTCAAATGGCCTAATGATTACAGCACCAGCTCAAGAATACAGAGACCCAGCCTCATTGGCTCAGTATGGAAACCTATTCCATATTTCAGAGAAAGTTGCCTATCATAAAACTCAAAGCAACTTTTGATAGGTCAACATTCCCTAACATTGGAGTTAAGGTATCATACAGCCAGGATCACTGCAGATAAGGGACAACAGCAGGCATCTTAAACCCTGCTGCTAATCATCTCAGTCACAAACTACAGGTATGGTAATTGCAAAAACTACCAGCACTAATAATAAAGAGATGAGAATTTGGAAACAAGCAAAGGGAAGGAATACATATTGACCGAGCCTGGCAGGCCGACAACTGGCTGAAGCAATCTCATGTTCAGATTGTCCTTACCGATCTCTTTTCTGAGATTTCAGGAAAAAAAATGGAAAAAAACACCTCTATTTAAAATGGAAATTTTATAAAAGGAATGAACGTAATGAACCGGCCAAGCTCCCCTTAATATCAGAATAAGTCAAATTAACTTTATTTATAAACTTCAGAAGATAGCAAGGGAACAAGTAAGAGCTAACCTACCTAACAAAAACATACCACGTCAAACTAATCTAACCTCTTTATATTAAGAAAATAAGATTTATGATGGAGTAAATGCACTAGGTGTCATAATCTGACTTGAGTGAGGCTTGTAACAGAGTTTCCAATTAATTTTTCAATTTTATAGTCAGTAAGTCTAAAGGAACTACTACAAAGTGAGGGGAAAAAAAATCTATGTTTTAGAACATAGATTTATAAATTTATAAATTTATAAAAATAATTCAATTTCAAACTAAGATGTACCGAGCAGAATTTCAGCCAGGATATGTTGTGAATATAGTACTATTCAAAATTTTTATTCACAATTTGTAAAACTAAATTGATTGTGCACTGTGTGTACAGATGTCAGAGACAGGAAGAGCACCAAGCATCTTGCACTGACAGCATCAGAGTTCAGAGTGATGCAGGAAACACAGAGCATGATGACTGGAAAAGGAAGGAGGCGGCAACTCTGCAGATCATTTGGAGAAAAACTGGTAAGTTTAAATCATTGCAAAAATTTAGCTTGGGTATTAGGAAAACCCTTCTTATTGCTCTAAAAGTGAAATACTAGAATAAACTGTCTAGGGAACTATGGAACTTCCACAGAGACCTGACCACCAGGTGTTAAAAATGATGTAGGATGAGCTGATTTTGCCTTGCTGCAGTAGGATATGCAATCCTTTTTCCTTTCAGTTCTTCTTTCTGTGATTTTTAACGTTTTCAAAGGAAATACAGTAACATACATATAGACTAGGAATACTGGTAATGAAGAACAGATACGACATGTCTTATTGTAAAGGACTGAAGGTTTTATATTTCAATATTGTATCAAGGAACATGTAGGACAGAGAAGTTAGAATAGTATTAATGATAAAACAAAATGCAGAAGTAATTCAAAGAAAAGCTGAAGTTAAAAAAAATCTTAGAATATATAAAATGGAATTCATTTGGCTATATTAGATATGTATGCCTATGATGAATGCTCATAATCTAAATATCCAGCATCTATATTCAGCAGAGAGAAACAGGCATTTCTAGTATACCAATCATCCCACCCTAAACAGCACACTTAATATTAGTCACATGCATCACCAGAACTAAAAATGACCTATTCTCTTTTCTGACTATAAAAAGGGGTTAGCTAATAGAGACATACAATGTTTAAACTTAGATGAGGTGGCTCGCTATCCTCATTATCATTATAAATTACAACCAGTTCAAGCACTCCGTGCTTCACTGATTACATGTTCCCAAAGAAAATCTCTCCATATCCTCTAAGTTCACTTACTGAACAAAGAGGAACTCCTATGATCACATAGACATGAGATGTGCTTCCTTGAAGAGCAAATAGAAAGTGAGATTAACATTAAAGATGAAGTTCTACTTTGGAAAGACAGAAATGTAACTAAAACAGGATTTCTCCATAAGCATTTCTGCAAGTCCACCAAAAAAAATGATAGTAAAGCCTGTCTCAGAGTCTTTTGTACTTGATGCACTAAATGAAAAGGGAAAAGATCACATTCTTAATGCTTTGAAGACTTTTCCTCATAGTAGGCTGCTTATACTAAGAGTATTCCCTCATACACAGTAAAGGAAAAAAAAATCGTAACAGATGGACCTCCATTTAGTTCAGTGCATAGTATTCATCATAAAATAATGAAAAAAAAAAAAAAAAAGAAAAACCTCTGTTGCTTGATTTTCAAACTAAGTACTCCTTGATTCAAAAGACAATCAAAGAACAGATAGCTTCCTAACATAAAGCTGAAGAACAAGAAATAACTGACATTAGAATTTATTCCATATGAGAAGATCAAAACATTCACTTTCTGGCCTTAATATCTATGGCTGGATAAGCAGCATTTTAAACATATTGCTTCTAAGTATAAAATGTGCTCTACGAATAGCCCAAGTATTATCTAAAACGTATTTTTCTTCAGATCAGATATTCCTTAAGAAAATAAAGTTTCATTTCTTATTATCTTCCTTTTCTTCATATAAGTCATAGTTTTATACTCAGCTTCAAATCAACATTTCTGAAATGCAAGTACATTCAAAATGCAAAAATGCAGATTGCAATCTCATGAAAAGTGCAGAATTTTAATTAGAGAGGATATTTCTAAGTGCCAGGCTGAACCAAGCATAAGCTGCTTTCTCCTGTTGTGAATCTCCACCCATTTGTGTTTTCTTTGAAGTCCAATAAATGAAGCCTGCATGCTTCTATTAAAAGCACAAGAAAGGCATTTATTATGTCACTAGGCTTAAAAAACTGTTTCAGACACAATGAAAAATACTTTCAAAACGGCACTAGTATAAGAGGAAAGGTTAAGAAGTGCATTGCTCAGGCAAGGTCTTCAAAGGGTTCCTACATCATTATATTTGAAAACAGATGGTATCTCAGTACTTGGAACTATCGTTTATGGACACCTACAATCTCAAATAAATCCCTTCTAATCCCACTCTTTTGTCTGATTTTTGTACTTTGATGGTAGCTGCAGGTGTCTTTCTCACATCATATTATTTTCTAACTATGAAGACACATGTGTAACCATGCAAACAACTACGGAATTCTTTTTTGCCCACTAAAAAACTATTAAAGCACAAAGCTTTTTTCTTCATGATATTAAATAATATTGTTTTCTCTTCTCATTCACATTCATTTTGCAGGGTCTCACTCTGAAGTTATTTGCACAGGTTAACTTACACAGCGTGAAGCTATGAGATGGCAATCATTCACCTGTGTACTAGTTGTATAGTGGTCTAGGTGTACTAGGCTCCTAAATACCCTCACTTTCTTTCTCTTAATACAAATCAAACTACATATTAATGCTATGCCACATTAATACATTATTATAACATAATGAATAATGAGAAACATGTATATTAATAGCTAATATTAGATACTTTCATTATCACAGCTGACAAATCTATTGTATCATCTGGTACAGTTACAATCAATTCCATATATTTTGCAAACATAAACAGTGGCATCTGGTCCTGTGGGTCTGGTCCTCAGATGTTTACATATGGAACAGGACAGGTGTAAAAATAAGTCCACACAAATGTTTTTGTGACATCCACACACGACATTTGAATTCACCAGTGGTATAAAAAGAAAAAGTCACCAAGTATATGTGAAACAAATGCATAGGTTCTAGTGGAAAGATCTGGAGACTGATATTACAAACAAAAATGGCATCTAATATTTTGTTACAATACCAGAACTCTGGCACTTGGAAAAAACACATTGAAATATAAAGTATGATCATACCTGAAACTTCACAAGGTTTATGGGATTTCTGAAATTTTCTTTTAAATTCTTCATTCCTGTATATGAGGTGTGGTTTGTTATGTTCTTCTTCATGTTCATCTCCATCTGCTTTCATCAGAGGTTCTAAAAAATATTCACCATCATGTGTCTTAAAGGTGCCCATCTGAAAGTACAAAATTTACTGATTTATAGTCCACTGAAAATACCAACATAAAACACAATTTTCATGCATATAATAAATTATCTATGATAACTTTTAAAAATTACTGAAAATAAACTTGCACTTGAGACACAGGAAATCCCCTAGAAGGAAGAGAGATGGGAGCTGGAGGGCAGCAGGAAGAGAAGTAGAGAAGTTTACTTCCAGAGACTTGACCCACCAGGAGATCTCATTAAAAAGCCCGCCATACTTATTAGTAAGGCATCATATATATATTTGGATATATAATCTCCAAAAAGGTTAATGAAATAAGAGAAATCACAAAAGCAAAAAGAGTTTAGGTATAACCAAGCAAGACCAACTGAGAATTACGCAAAGAGGCAAGTGGAAGGGATCAACAACCCCAGAGTTTGAGTGTTGTCAGAATTCTAGATGGAGTTGGTGCCTTCTCTCCCTTTCCTTCATATAAATTACAAATTCCCTTTCTTCTAAAACTGCATTTTTATCATGTATTAGTAACTGTGTTAACCTGATGTTCTTTTCTTTTTCTTTTTTTTTTTTAAAGGGACTTTGAAACTATTTCCAGGAATTCAAAGTTGATAGTTTAATAGGTTTTTCTCCCCACCTTGATTTTTTTTCCTCTAGAAGACCTACAGATAATTACATACCAGAACCAAAGAAACTTGATTTCTCACTGAAACACATCCATAGGGAAAAACTTCAAACTTTAAGCTTCTTTTTCCCCCCTGCAAGGTATTCAATTAAGAAAACCAAACCTGGAATCTTTTTTTCCTTTCTGGACTTCTAACCGCAGCCATAGTTTCTATGGCTGAAGTGTTTACCTCATAAAATCCCGAACAGCACAAGGTGAACAGACAGAAGATGCACAGAGCCAGGAAGATTTTCTAAGATTCATGTTACTTTTGTGTCAATTAGGAACAAAGTCCAAACCACTAAAACAGGATAAGTCTGATTCATCTATGAACACTGATATGCTAATTTCTTTTTTTCTCCTGTTGTGCTCTAAACCTATTGTAATTCTAGACAACAGAGACATTTAAAATATGCGTAGATTTTAAGAAAACAAAAAATTAACTGCTACTGCTTTATCATCCATACTTTATTTCTCCTCCTTCTAATATCTGGAACATCTACTTTGCATTGGTTTCTTCAATAGTTTTTCTCAATGAACGGGCTTTCTGATTTTACAAGGAAAGGGCTTCAGAAGCCTACAAGAAGTGCACAACTACATGCATAGCAGCACAGAGCACATAAGCAGAGAGTTTGTTCTACATTTTAAAGTAAACTCATCCCCCAGAATATCAGACTTCCACTGGAAAAGGTGGACTGCAACAATCAGACTACATTTCTCTACCATTTCACATTCCAAAAGTCACTAATCAGCTTTTAAGTGAATTTGAACACCGAAAAATCCCACTGAGATTGCTGACCCCCCACGCAGACAATCAAGTGCCAAAGAATGTCTTGAGCAGCTACAGGTGATAAATTCCTAAGAATTTCAAGCCATATTTCTGTCCCTATCCAGGATGGGAAGAATTAGCATGAGACATCCTGACTGACCTAAGCCAATTCAAGATTTCTTGCTCTCTGACAGAGGTATTCCCCCTCCTCTGGATATGCACTCCCACCATCACTAACACTGTAAAACAACTCCTCTGTCCAGATAAAATCTATTCTAATATGTAATCAAACAAAGTAATATGTAATCAAACAAAGGAAAGACATCAAAAACTTACAGTGTTTTGTAAATACAGACAGCTCTAAGGGAGGAATTTTACATTATGTTCCACAGTTTCGGAATTATTTTACAGTATCTTTTGTTTTAAGCCCAGGTACCATGTTGTCCTTAAGCCATAAGATTAATCTGATGTTTTGTTGCTGCTTGGGCTAACTATTTTAGAATAAAAGGAGCTGGGTCCTTCACGCTTGTCCTCACTCTGGCCCAGTGGTCCTCATACGGTACCATCTTGATCATCATTGATCAACTATGTTGAGGAGACAGGTCAATCAAGAGCCATAATTGTCACAAACTCTCCTTCTCTGCTTAATGACCTCTCTCCTCATCAACAACGTATAGATAAATAAGAACCAACTGTGGCAGCTTACGGGTTAGGAAGTCTTCCCACCAGCAACCTATGACAATGTACTTTTGCACACTCTCCATCCAAGCTGAAACGATCTCTTTATATGTGAGAATGCCAAAAAGAGATTAAAATAAACGTGCTGCCTCTAGTCTATGAAGAGTACACTGTATTAGTCATTTAAAATCCAAGCGGAGTCTACAATTTATTCCACAAATGTCACTGGCATAAATTTATAGTGCAATGTTAACCTAAAAGGAATCTAAGCTTTTCAGACAGCAGCGCACAGATATGGTTGGGTTCGGATCAATGAATGGAAATCTGGATTTCCGAAGGCATATGAGAAAGATGAGAGTTAGAGAAAGCGAAACCAAGTTTGAAGTCATCAGCACAAAATCTCCAATTTCATTACAAGAACTGAAGTTGGATTTTGATTAGCCACACATGGTTATCTCCTCATCTTCCTTATTATTAATAGGCCTACAAAAATTCAGCGGCCAGCTACACTGTTCTGCCTGTTTCACACCTCATTCAGGGATATAACACTGGTGACAGTGTCTGGTCAGATACTGGCGACAGAGGCTGCTGATATAAATGGAGCTCTTCATGTGAATTAGGCACCTAAGGCAATGGGCTGTGAGATCCAAGAGAAAAACTAAATTTTTGGTAAAATCAAAGTCATTTATAAGATATACAGAGGCAGGTTGCTGAAACAGGAGCCCAAGTATTTGCAGGAAATGAAATCAGAAATCAGCTGGATTTTCTTATCATCTACAGATGCCTCTCCAATCAAATAACAAGAAAACAGCCCCAAACATTCTATTGCTATTCTTGGATAAAGAGGTAAAAGTCCATCTTAAAGATTTCTTCAGTAAAAGTGGAGAACCAAATTGAAAACAGGCTCTTGCACATGATAAAGAAGTGGTCCAAAGTAAGAAAGCAGGAGCACTTTCCAGGACTATACATATGCAGAGATATGAGGCAATTAGGAGAAAACCCACATAAGGTAATTTATGACCTTGATTTAAAATACTCTGAATGAGTTAAGTCACTTGAATATATTAAAACCCAGGTTTAATGGTTCAACACAGATATTCATTATCAATGGTCTTAATGGTTTCCAGTGGCTTACAGCTTAATCAATGTATTTGCTCTATTCCAAGAGTAGTAGAAATAAATATTGCATAATTTATGGTTAAAGTATGTACCATACTCATAGACAAATTACATCCTTGTGTATAACAGCAACTTGGAAGAACACATGGAAAACATAAGAAAAGTAGAGCAGGTTTCAGAAACATGGAATTAACTTTATGTCTAATCTAACTTGCAATTGTAGAATTGGAAAGGTTTCAGAAAAATAGAATGATAGAAGTTTTAGAAAACATGACTCTAAACTGGCAGACTCCTTCCAGGTAAGCACCACTCCTGTGCCTTGGTCTGCTTCATGCCCTCAGAGTACGATTTGTTAACTCAAAAACTTGCAAGTAGTTTATATCAAGGATACTTTCACGGTCAAAGCAAATTATGAAACTCCTTCTTTTTGTATTATTCACCAACTCTGCTGCATTCATTCAAAGTTCTTCTGAATCATGTGAGAAGCCCTTTACCCTCCTCTGCCAGCTCCACTACTACAACGTTTTCTAATGAAAGACTTAAGCAGCACAGCCTAATTAGTTCACAGAAGAAAAAAGCATTAGGGGTTATCTGATCAAGATACACTGCCAACATCTGGAAAAGAGGTTTCCACTAGCAGATAATTCGGCTAGAAAAATGACAAGATGTACTGATTGTGAGCTAGCATTATATTAATTCAAACCAGACATAATAAAATTAACAAAATAAAAATAACACAAACACTGGTTCAATGACGGGGAAAAATAGCTCTAGCAAGAAAAAATGTCAGCTGGTAGAACACCTTTTAAAGTGATCAGAAACAACACTGTATTGGAAATTATTTAAAACAAATGGAGTAAAATGCTAAAGACAGCAAAAACATCTTTCACTGCAAGTTGAGCAGTGTGACCTACCTTTACACTTGCTCATAAATTCTGTGATCCCAAGATTTCCTTAGCAGATCCTAAATCACCCCTTTTGAAACTTGAGCACAGTTGGTAAAGCACCTGTGTATGCTCAGAAGTGTTCTATGCTGGGAAGCAAGGCACCTAGTCATGGGTTAAATGCAATTTCATAATTCTATATTGCAGCTTAAATTGCAGGTTAACCCCTAAAGACTCAGTGTCCTCAGAACATGCCCAGCCTGACCACACTGATATCTGTGGTACTGACCCCAGCCCCCTACCAGGCAAGTTAATTTTACAAAGCAGCACAGAGAAAGCAGGGATTCCATCGAGCACCACAGCACTCGGTGGAAAACCTGGTTCCAGGTATCCTGTTCAACACTTTGTAGGGCTAAACTAGGCAAAAAGAAGCTTCCTGAAGCCTAGTAAAGGCAGCATTCCAGAAGTAACAACAATAAAATATAAAGATAGCAGGTAATCAGAAAGAATATTACAATAACAATGTCAAAAACAGCTGGAAAGAGCAGGTAAAAAAGCCTGCAGGGAATAGAGGAATAACAAGATTCATTGGACCTGGAGGCACTAACAGGCTGATTTATTTATTGTTAACTTCGTATATGATTTACAGTGAATAAACCAGACTTTAAAGTTGCTGCTCTGCAATATCTATTGGAATTGGCAAAAGGAGATGCATACAGACATGGAGATTTTTCTCACATATGTGAAGAAACTGTCATTAACCTAAGTACCCTTCTGGAACACAGACCTATAGAATCATGGTCATATTTTGGAGGAAACCTCATCGTGTAACCTCTTCAGTGACTGCCAAGCAAATTCACATTTGCAGCTTATCTCTGCTTAAAGAGAACTTGTGGCTTTG